CATTTCCAGATATGTGAGCGAGTCTTCTAGTTCTCGATTAGTTGCCATCTGTTGTTGTTCCAGCATTTCTACTTTCATAACCATCTGTTCCATCTTCATTTCTGTCTTTTCAATTCTTTGTTCATTTTTGGCGATGTTCTGTTGGATTTTTTCGATCTTGTCATCCATTTTCTTTATATTGTCATTTATCTCTCCCACATCAGCTTTCAGATCATCATGGTTTCTCTTGGTCTCCTCATGATTATTGGCAATCGTTTCTTGGGTCTTACTCATGGCTTCCTGTATCATTGCCAGTACTGACTGGATATTTTGCATACTGGAAATGGAGGCTGATTTTTCTTTTTCCGTTCCAAGCATGGTTTCTATGGTTCTTTGTTGTGCTGGGGATGCTGTTTGGGATGCCTGATTTGGAATTATTTTCTTGCTTGTTTTGCTTATGGTAGTTGTGCCAGTGCTTGTCATCTTGATTCTTTTTTGCAGAATCTCCCAAATTCTCATGCAGTAAAATATTCTTATTTTGACTCAACCTTGTTGTCTATAAAAATGTTAATCTCAGTAATAGTGTCTAGCTTCTATATTGTATAGGTATTTATGCACTGGTTGATCTTATCTAGTTGTAGGTTGTTTCTGTGCGTGTCTTTAAAACTCTGACAATCAATTCAATAATTAATTAGACTGTTAGATATATACTCAAAAAAAGGGGGGGGCGAGAGAATATATGGGATGAAGGAGGTCGAGGGAAAACTTAGAATTCTAGCACTTCATTAAATGTTGCTATAACAATCAATTAATAATTAATTAGTAATTACTAGTTTAAGTATCAAAACAATGTAACAGTTAATAGTTTATGTATCAATACAATATAGTGATCCAACTATCAAATCTAAATCTATCAGGATCTATTCCCTAAATGTCACTAATATAAATATATGATTAAATATGTATTATTTTTCTGGATGATATTTACTTATAGTTATTTAATTAATCAGTTAAACAGTTAATCATTCAATTAATCATTCATATAAATAGTTAGTTGTCAATTTGTCAAGTATCTCACCAATAAAGAATGTTAATAAATAGTTATAGTTTAAACAAGTCTTAATCAGATATAAATATAAATTTAATTTGCTCTTAATATACTGTTCTCTTTCAGTCTTATGTGTAAGGGTTCTTGTACCTAAGGTTTCTTTTTTTCTTTTTTTTTCTTTTTTTGTTCAAAGTCTTAGTTTTGGTGTCTCTCTCTTCTCTCTCTTCCAAATGTCCAAATAGCCAAAAGGTCCAATTGTCCAGAATTCAAGATTTCAGTGTCCAGTATCCACCGTTATCAAACAATTTAGTCCAGTTTGGTAGTCTCTGATATTTAGTCCAGGCTCTGCTTCTTTGCTACCCGTCTGGCATGCCGCTCTCGCTTGTTCGCACTTTCACTTTCAGCTGTTAATGGCTTCCGACTCTCTCAGCGATCCTTGCCCTTCGGTTGATTCGTCTCTGCTTCTGTTGCGTAGCCTGCTTTTCCAGCCTAAGAGAGAGAAAAAAGGTCCTTCTTCACAGTTAAGTCCAAATTTGGGGTCTGGTCCAAAATCGCCATTAAATCCTTGGGAATCTCTTGTTCCAAGCGGTCTCTCTTTTTTTTGGACAGTCACCGCCTGTCAGCTCTTTTCCGCCCTGTCTCCCAAATTATCATGTATGTACCCAAATTTGCAAGCTAAATGTTGGAGATGTGAATGTGATGATGCAACCTATTATCATATATGGTGGACCTATAAGAAAATCAAGGCATTTTGGATAAAAATTTGGTGGGTGATGCAGAACATTCTGAAAAAAAGGTTGAAATTTACTCCTCAATTGTTTCTACTGGGTATAACGACGGATTGTACAGTATTAGAGACTAAATTGATTTTGAACTTAATATCAGCAGCTAGGCTTTTGGTAGCACAATACTGGAAGAAGGACTTTTTGCCTACTATTGAAGAGTGGATACTGAAAAGTAACGAATTTAGCAGAAATGGCGAAAATCTCAGCGTATTTGAAGGACTATACACAAGAAAGATACGTATCGGAATGGGAAGATGGATTGATTACATTCAAAATAAATATCAGACAAGAAAATATCAAATAGCTTATGAATGAATGTTAAGTATTAGAAGTATTATGTTATCTATAGTGGAGGGATTTAGTAGTCTAAGGATAGATAAGTTAATTTAGCTTATGATTGTTAACTGAAATACCTTGTATTTTGCTCTGGGAAGTCTGGGGGGGAGGGTAGGATGAGGGGAGGGAAAGGGTGGGGGGAATATTGGGGGGGAGGGGGAATCCTTTTTTTCCTGTAAAACAAAGTACTCCAACCAGTGGAGATTCAGCTAAGTTTGACAATGGAAAATCTCAGCTGGCCATGAGCAGGAGCATCACCATTGCCCCTTGGTTCCATATGGACAACATATGCTTTGTTAACTTAAAAACGGTTTCATGGTTTTGTGATGTAATAAAGTAAGATACCTGGAAAAGTGCGAGGACCGGTCAAAAATAACTTTTTCAGCCTTCTGACTAGTCCATATGCACATAAGGACTATTCAGAGGGCTGAAAAAAGTCATTTCTGACTGATCCTCACATTTTTGACCGGTCCTCACCCTTATTTACCAATAATAATAAACCAAATAATTTCCCCCATATATTCCTCCAAACCACAACTTAACCATTTCTGCTTTCAACACAATATACAATTAATAGTATCTCAATTATTACAATTCCCTAGTTAAATAGAGCTTTTTTTCTTTTGTGTTTTAAAATCTTGAACTCTCCTCTTTTTCCCTAAAGAGGAACTACCTCTTTAGGGAAAACTAAACTTTTCACTAAAGGTAGTTTGCACCTACCTTTTTTGGTGGGGAAAAAGAAAAGAAATCTGCCTGCCTAATTTTCCAACGTTGCAGCAACAGCAAAGACAACAGCCTGCTTTACTCTCAGTTTCATTTTTCAGCATAGCTAGGGAAAAAAAACTGCTCCAGCAAGCAAACAAGCAGCAGAGCCCTGAGCAAAACAGCTGAGAGCAAATCAGCTGAGTCGGGAGGCCGATCTAATCAACCACCTAATTAGCCTATGCTGAAGCTCCACAGGCCAATAAAATTACAAAAAAACACTGAACCGTTTGTTAAATTGCTGGCTCGCCCGCCCCTCACCCACCACTATTTATTGGCAATAAATAGTGGTGTGGAGGGGCGGGGTAAGGGGCAGGGTGAGCCAGCAATGTAACAAACGGTTCGGCCGAACCACCTAGAACCGGCAGAATCCCACCACTGCTTGAACCCCTCCGCTCTGTAGCAGCCACTCAAATATTAGAAGACTGCTATCATATCTCTCCTGGTCCTTCTCTTCACTAGACTAGCCATGCCCAGTTCCTGTAACCATTCTTCATATATTTTAGTCTCCAGTCCCCTAAGCATCCTGGTTGCTCTCCTCTGCACTTTTTCTAGAGTCTCAACATCTTTTTTATAGTGTGGTGACCAAAACTGGATGCAGTACTGTAGATGCGGTTTTACTAAGGCTTTATAGAGTGGTATTAGTACCTCACTTGATCTTGATTGTATCCTCTGTTAATGCAACTTAGGAGCCATTGATCAAGGGCAATGTCAGCCCTCCGGTCACCGGGGCTGCCAATCGCACAGAGACCTTGGCTGCACCCCTGGCTTACATGCCGCGCCAGGAGCTGCCAGCTGGGAGGCATGGCTATACCCACACGCTGCGCTGGGAGCTGCCAGCTCAGTGGCACAAGGTCTCCATGGCTTGAAAAGTACCTACCGGTGTTGAGGCGGTGCCCTGCTTTATCCAGGGCCACGCAAAGCCTGCCAGGGCTGGATGGGAGGTGACGCCTGCGTGTGGTGCCCGCAGTATGTATGGCCTGCACGCTGGGCAGTGTCATCACTGGACGCCACATAAGGGGTGCGGAGTTATAGGGGCGGGTCCTGGATGTAGCTGTGGGGGTGGAGCTGACGCTATATAAACGGTGCAGGGATTAACCACGTTAGCACTGACTTTGCCTATTCCCTGTTCGTCACTTTGTGCTGCTTGTTGTAGCTTGTTGGATAAAGTTTGTCAGTTAATCATGTTTGGCTCTGTCTAAATTCCTTGCTGACGGCCAGAATGTGACAGGCACTTTATTAGCAGTACTCGGCTGCTACTTCACCTCTTTATACAGTGGAAGCAGTGAGAAATTTCCTAATCGTGAGAACAATTAACCAATTAAGTAAAATCATAGAAATTAAAGAGGATGTACTTTCTTTTTTACTTGACTGTATGTGAAAACAACCGTTTGCATTGCTAAGAATTTGTGATTGACCCAGTCAACAAGGGAATTTCATCACTGAATGGATATTTGAACTTGGATCTGGGTAGTCTTCCATGTGTCATGATTAATGTAAGAGCTTCTTTGAGTATTGTGGCATGTTTGCTTTTTCATTGTAATGTAACCCTTTTTCTTTTTTTCTCATCTTCTGCAACCATTTCATGCACAATTAAAGATACATTTTTATTTGAATCTTATAGACAAAGAAGATGGAAATGAGCACTCTGGACAACTGAGGATAACAACCAACATTGAACACCAAAGCAAGTCAGTCCAGAAATCAAAATATTTTCCATTTCCTTCAGAGTCACACAATTCTTTTCTACCTAGGGAAACGAGAGAAAATCTGGAAGAGATTTCTAGCTGGGAAAAGCAGAGTGTGAAATTCAAGCATACATTACATGAAAAGTCAAGGCAGATTATTTTTCCATTGGGCAAAAGAGGGAAATATCTGGAAGTTACTGGGGAGGAAAAGGTCAATTGGAAAACCACGTAGAGCAGACAGAGTTGTAGGCCCACTCTGGGAGGAAGAAAACAGCTTGAATAAAAGCACTGCTAAACAAGGAATCATCCATATTTTTGTCCTCCAAAGGAATATGAGTTCTGGAAAAGCTCCATAGATGTGCCTGTTGTGGGAAAGATAGAACTTGCAAATCACAGCTGATTATGCCTGAGAGAATCCCGACTGGAGAAAAGCCGTTCAATACTCTAAACGTAGCAAAACCTCTGATCAGAACACCTCCATTGTGGTTCTTGGAAGGACCCTCACAGAAGAGAAGCCCTACAAGTGTTCCCAATGCAGTAAATGCTTTAGGAAGCATGGCAACGTGGACACACACAAAGGAGAAACTGTTTGAATGTCCTGATTGTGAGACATGTTTCTGCGATAATTCCAACCTGGTGATACACCAGAGGATTCACACAAGAAAGAAGCCCTTTAAATGTCCTAACTCTGGGGATAGTTTATGTCAAAATTCTTACCTCGTTTCACACCAGAGCACTCATAAGGGAGAGAAATCGTTGGAATGTCCTGGTTCTGAGAAAAGTTTCAGTAAGAATTCTAGCCTGGTGACACACGAGAGGACTCACACAGGAGTGAAAGCCTTTGAGTGTCCCGAGTGTAGGAAAAGTTTCAGTAACAATTCCAGCCTGGTTCAACATCAGAGGATTCACACAGGAGAGAAACCATTTGAATGTCCTGTTTGTGGGAAAAGTTTCAGTCAGAATTCTCACCTCATGAAACACCAGAGGATTCACACAGGAGAGAAACCCTTTGAATGTCCTGACTGTGGGAAAAGTTTCAGTCAGAATTGCAACCTGGTTCAACACCAGAGGATTCACAGAGGCGAAAAATCCTTTGAATGTCCCGATTGTGGTAAAAGTTTCAGTACTAATTTCAGCCTCATGACACACCAGAGAATTCACACAGGAGAAAAACCCTTTAAATGTCCTGATTGTAGGAAAAGTTTCCGTCAGCATTCCAACCTCATCGGCCACCAGAGGACTCACACAGGAGAGAAACTCTTTGAGTGTCCTGATTGTGGTAAAAGTTTCAGTCAGAATTCCAGCCTGGTGAAACACCAAAGGATTCACACTGGAGAAAAACCCTTTGAATGTCCTGTCTGTGGGAAAAGTTTCAGTCAGAATTTCAACCTGATTCAACACCAGAGGATTCACACAGGAGAGAAACCATTTGAATGTTCTGATTGTGGTAAAAGTTTCAGTACGAATTCCACCCTGGTGAAACACCAGAGGACTCACATAGGAGAAAAACCCTTTGAATGTTCCGATTGTGATAAAAGTTTCACTACCAATTTCAGCCTCATGACACACCAGAGGATTCACACAGGAGAAAAACCCTTTAAATGTCCTGATTGTGGTAAAAGTTTCAGTACGAATTCCACCCTGGTGAAACACCAGAGGATTCACATAGGAGAAAAACCCTTTGAATGCCCCGATTGTGGTAAAAGTTTAAGTACATATTTCAGCCTCATGACACACCAGAGGATTCACACAGGAGAAAAACCCTTTAAATGTCTGGACTGTGGGAAAAGTTTCCGTCAGAATTCCAACCTCATCGACCACCAGAGGACTCACACAGGAGAAAAACCCTTTGAATGTCCTGACTGTGGGAAAAGTTTCAGTAAGAATTTCAACCTGGTTCAACACCAGAGGATTCACACAGGAGAGAAACCGTTTGAATGTTCTGATTGTGGTAAAGGTTTCAGTACAAATTCCACCCTGGTGAAACACCAGAGGACTCACACAGGAGAAAAACCCTTTGAATGTCCCGATTGTGGTAAAAGTTTCAGTACCAATTTCAGCCTCGTGACACACCAGAGAATTCACACAGGAGAAAAACCCTTTAAATGTCCTGACTGTGGGAAAAGTTTCCGTCAGAATTCCAGCCTAGTTCAACACCAGAGGACACACACAGGAGGGAAACTATATGAGTGTCCAGACTGTGGGAATGATCCCAGTACTAACGTTAACCTTATAAATCATGTACTTATACACAAAGGAAACTTTCCACCCTTATCGCACACAGAAAAATCTCCTGAGGCCCCAAGCGATTAATGTAGAGAAGAGTTGAATTTCATTTCTAGTGTCCCATTGTAAGTGCAGCTGATAAGTCCAACTGATAAATTGACTATTTAAATTGATTAAATTAACTTGAATTCGCCTGATTTTTTGTAGGCAAATATGTAATGGTATTAGATGCGGCAGAGGAAAGAAAAAGTTGGAAGATATTACTTTGATAATGGCTATCTTGCTTTCAGCTTAAGTTGCTGGATATTTATTTTTGTAGAAATTTGGCTATTATGTAAAAATCTTTTTGGGAGTGTTCTTTGCATTTTGTGATGGTGGATGATAGAAATGCTATGTGCCAGGAGTCCCAGCCTTTTTCTCCCTGGGGCCCCCCAAGATTTTCAGCCTTAGAATTCTCCAGCCAGCATCTCTTGGGGATTGGAGCCCTGAAACTATAGATTGTGGCTCCACATATAAGGAGAAAGCAAGAGGAGAAAAGACACAGAGGAGGTTCAAAATTTATCTTATGCCATTGCTGTCTTCTGTGATTTTTTTTTTTTACCTAGCAAACAAACACAGGGTTTCCTAGTGGTGCACCATCCATTTATTATCCTGGAAGAAGTGGGCTTAACCTAGGATTTTTTTTAATAATAGCTATTTGCACCATTTGGGATGTTCAGTTTTATAGACAGTCCTCGATTACCGCTTATTACTCAGCCTTCAAAATTACACTGGTGTTGAAAAATAGTTCCTCAAAGTTGTGCCCATCACAGTTATTTGGGGGTGGGACTGGCTTGCAATTACGATACTTTCGGTGTCCCACAGTCATGGAATTGCCATTTGGAACCTTCACAATTGGCTTCCAATAAACAAAATTGACAGGAAGTTGCAAGTCACACTCATGGTACATTGCACTGAAGAGAACACGGTGATTCGCTTGACTGTTTTTCACATGACCATTGCAGCATCCCCATAGTCACATGTTCAAAATTCAGATGCTTAGCAAAACACCCATAATTATGATGGTTGCAGTGTCCCAGACTCAAGTGATCCTCTTTTTGCACCTTCTGACCAACAAAGTCAACAGGGAAGCCAGATTCGCTTAACAACCATGTGACCAATTTAACAACTGCAGTGATTCATTTAGCAACTGTGGCAAAAAAAGTTGTAAAATGGGGCAAAACTCACTTAACAGATGTCTCCCTTAGCAACAGTGAAATTCTGGGCTCAATTGCAGTTGTAAGTCAAGGACTACCTGTATTTACATAAAGTATCAGAGTTGGAAGCGACCTTAGAGGTGGTCTAGTCCAACCCACCGATCAAGACAGGAGACCCTATTCCATTTCAGACAAGAGACTGTCCAGTCTCTTCTTAAAAGCCTCCAACCGGAACCCTGTCCTTTAATGCCGCTGAAGCTCTTGGGATCATTTCATCAATTAACATCCTCCCCTTGCTTTAAAGTTAGATCAAAAAGTGTGAGTGTATTGTATGGAGTAATCACAACAGACACACCCCTCCACCCAAAGAATGAAATATTTTGGGTAATATTAAAAAGAGGCAGAATATTATATTTCCCCAACGGAGAAATGGAGGGAAAAAAATACTAGCAAAGGCAGAAAGCAGTCACAACAGTTTCCAGCAGATACCTGAAATTTTTAGAGATGGATATTTTGTGTCCATTAAGAAATCTAGGACAGCCTATTCACAAACAAAACACCTAGAATGCCAATTGATGGGATTAATCACGAATTAAAATTTGCATTTCCCCATCCAAAATCTAAGGACAGGACCTGACCTTTTAGTACACAGGTCCTCAAAGTACGGCCCCTGGGATGGATATGGCCTGCAGAAGCAATGTATCGGGCCTGCGCAGTAGTGGGATTCCGCCCTGCCCCTAGCCCCATCCCTACCAGCCATTATTTGCGTGGCTGGCTGTGCCACCCGCATCGCCCCTTCTCTATCAGTCACCCTTATCTTCCAATGCACGGGTGTATGCTTAGCACAAAGGTAAGGGGGAGGGTGGGCAGTGGAGGGCGTGTTTCACAATGGGTTCTCCTCTTCCTGGAGCCCATTATGACGTGGAGCCACAATGTGACCCTGCCCCACTCTCCCCTGACAACAGCAGTGTCGGCTCATTTTCGCCTCCCAGATGTCAGTCTTCCTGCAGATACTGCAGGCTGCCTGTTTTGTGATGCCCTGCCTCCCCGCCAGCCAGGTGATCTTTGGGTCTCTGCCGACCGGCTGATCATCAGCATTCGGCTCATCAACCTCTGGATGTCAGATTCCCACCATCTAGCACCAGTTCAGGGGTTCCTTCCCCCACCCCCGGACAGAGAGAGAGAGAGAGAGAAAGAGGGAGGAAGGGAAGGAAGGATGATAGGAAGAAAGACAGAATTGGGGGTTGTGGTAAAAACTGTAGTTCAGTAATTTAATTTAATTTTTAATTTAATTTCCAATTTATATACCGCCCTTCTCCCTGAGGACTCAGGGCGGTGTACAGCCAAGATAAAAAACATAGAATACAAATATTAAAACATTTAAAAATATATATAAATTTTGGCCCGAAAGTTAAGAATCACAGACTAATTAAAAGAATTTAAAAATTTTAAAAATTTCTTCTTAAGCCAGTAATAAGGATGTGATGGCCCTCCAGTAGCTACTGCATTACACTCCCATCATTCCTGACTATTAGTTGTGCTTAGATGGCCAGGCCTCCCTCTCCAGGACCCTCCTCTCTGGCAATGCCTCAGGTGTCTCCCGAAGGAGAAGAGATTGGCCAGAAGCCAGGTGTTTCCGAGCCATCGGATAGTGATGAAGAAACATTGTGGTTGGACCCACGCCAGCGTCGGAGAGACAAGCGTGCGCAGCAGAAAAGGAGGCGTGCCAGAGATTAAGCTGAGTCACTGGACCACACCCCACAGGCTATAAAAGGGAGTGTGGTGGCCATTTGGACTCTGTGACGGACAAAGCTAATCTCTGCCGAGTCACTTTGCACCTTTGGACACAACGCCTATTTGCTGTGGATTTAATCATAAACTGGACTATTCAAACTGTGTGTATTTTTGTCTGTGTTATCGGAGTAAAAGTTCTTGGCAGGCAGCCACGGAGTTTCTGCCAAGTTCCTTATCACTGACGTTGAGTGTTTGAAGAAGTTTATTTAACCCTCGGCTGGCTGGTTGGGTGCGGGGACAGAACACTACTGTTGAGCGAGGTACCACATATATTGTACCTGTGCATTTTGTTTTTCTTGCCTAAATGAAGAAGCTTACTTTTTTCACCATTCAATTTCATTTTGTTAGATAGCACCCAATGTTCAAGTCTGTCAAGATCCTTCTGTATCTTAAGCCTATCTTCTGGAGTGTTGGCTATTCCTGCCAGCTTGGTGTCAGCTGCAAATTTGATGAGTTCCCCATCTATCCCCTCATCATTGATGAAGATATTGAAGAGTACTGGGCCTAAAACAGAGCCTTGGGGTACTCCACTGCATACTTCCCTCCACGTTGAATGCGGTTGATCAGCCAGTTACAAATCCATCTGGTGCTGATGCTGTCCAACCCACATTTTTCTAATTTATCTAGTAGTAGGTTATAGTCTACTTTATCAAATACCTTACTGAAGTCCAAGTAAATTATACCGACAGTATTCCCCTGGTCCACTAATTTTGTCACTTTGTCAAAGAATGGAATAAGATTAGTATGGCATGATCTGTTTTTGACAAACCCTTTTGGTTATTACTTTGTTTACTTCTAGGTGTTCACTGATTCATTGCTTGATCTTTTCCAGAATCTTCCCTGGTATTGAGGTCAGGCTATAAAGACAGATGCAAAAAAGAGTTAAGTAGTACTGCTTTGTCCCTGTTGATTGTCACCTTCTTGCCACTTTCTCCCAACAATGGACCAATTGTTTCCTTGACATTTTTCTTTTCCATGTCCATCTAATTTGTATTTTATGTTTTGATTTTTTTTGCCAATGTGCAAGACAGAGAATTTATTGGTTGAGCACAGACATCGCAGCACAGACACACATCTCCAAAATGCTCCGTCCGGAGCCTTCAGCCTTACAATCCTGGACGGGGTGTCTGTGCTGTGAACGCAAAGAAAGAATGGTGTGTGTGTGTGTGAAAGAGAGAGAGCGAGAGCCGGTGATGACCCCCTGCCGCCCCAGTACTGACTGTACACCAAATGCCTGTGCCATAGGGGCAGCCCCCCCACTCTCACCCAGGCGCCACAACCACATAGCCCATGCTACTGAGCACCCATCACAGCAGCCCCAGCCCCAGCATCACCGCCCCCGGTCTTCCTTGGCAGTTCGGGCGGCGGCAGCAGAGAATCCTCCATGTGCGGCGGGCAGAAGTCAGCATGGATACTTCTGGTGAGGGTGGGGCAGTGGCTACATGATGGGGCGCAGGGCCGGAAGTCGTGCAGACCTACAACACCCAGCAGGCCTGGGGCATCCTGCAGCTGGACATGAGTCTCTCAGCAGCGATGGCTGAGGCGCTGTGGGTATTGCTGCTGCCACTGCCTGTGGAGGCTCTGGCCGGCCACTGAGGGCCAAGTTCAACCGCGGGCAGGGAGTGATGGCCATGGCCGGGCCAGCCAAGTTGCATTTGTCGGGGCTGCCCTCGGCGCAGCTGCCCGGCGTCTGGCTGCCAGGCACCAGGAAAGAGTAAGCGGGGTCTGCAGGAAGAAGGGAGGGCAGGCAAGGGTCCTGCGAGGCTCCCCTCCCCAGGGAGAGTCCGGCCTGGTCGCTGTCCTGTCCGGTGACTCCCAAGGCAGAGGGGTTTGCTGGCGGGCGCTCCAATCGGTCAGCGCCTGGGTGGAGGGACCACAGGGCAATTGGAGCAGAAAAGAGCAGGGGGGAAAGGGGTGGCCTCCAGTGACTATCACCATAGAATGGGAAGCACACTCCCAGAGCAGCTGCTGCCCTGGCTGGAGTTTGGAAGCCGCAGAAGCGGAGTTTGTGGGAGAGAAAGAAAGACTTCTGTTGCTTCTGCTGCTGGCTGCACACAAAGAAAGCAGCAGAAGTCTTTCTTTCTCTCCTCCAAACTGCAGCTTCAAAACCCTGGATGGAAACCCCTGCTTTTTGGGCAGCCGGGGCAGAGAGGCGATGATGGATAAAGGGAGCTGCAGCCCCGCACGGAGAGTCAGCCACATCGATGATGTGAGGCCTGGGAGGCGCGCGAGCAAGGGAGGAAAGGTGCTCCCACAGCTTGGCGCCTTCAGGCCACTCAAGTTCCACACACACCTGCAGGAGGGGAGGGGCTTGATGGCAGCACGCAAAGGACCCTCTCTCTGCCGGACCCCAGCTGTGAGTGCTCAGGCCGCCTAGGGCGTCCTGCACCCTGAAAATAATAAGACCCCCCCCCTGAAAACTAGGCCAAGCCCTTATTTCGGGGTTCAAAAAAAAAAAGACAGGGTCTTATTTTTGGGGAAACACGGTAGCATCCCCATGGTCATGTCATTTACATTTGGATACTCAACTGATTCACATTTATGACTGTTGCAGTGTTCCAGAGTCATGTAATCCTCTTTTGTGACCTACTGAGAAGCAAAGTCAATTGGGAAATCAGATTAATTTAACGACTGTGCTATAACCGTATTACTAATTTAACAATAGCAAGGATTCACTTAACAAATGAGTGAAGAAAAGTAGTACAAGGGGCAAAACTGACTTAACAAATTCCTCACTTAACAACATAAATTTTGGACTCAATTGTGGTGGTAAATTCAGGATTACCTGTAACTGAGGACTGGAAAAGAGCCGATGTGGTTCCCATCTTCAAAACAGGTAAAATAAACTCGTCCAGGAAATTACAGACAGATAAGCCTGACATTAATACCTGGTAACATCTTGGAAAACATATCCAAGCAACAAATCTGTGAACACCTGAAGCAAACAAGTTATAACCAGTAGCTAACATGGGTTGATCAAAAACAGATCATGCCAAACAAACTTTATTTATTTTTATTTTTATTTTTTTTTAAATTTGATTTATATGCCGCTCTTCTCCGAAGACTCAGGGCGGCTTACAATGTGCTCAGCAATAGCCTTCATCCTTTTTGTATATTTATACAAAGTCAGCTTATTGCCCCCACAAACTGGGTCCTCATTTCACCTACCTTAGAAAGGATGGAAGGCTGAGTCAACCTTTAGCCTTGGCGAGATTCGAACCCTGCAGTAATTGCAGGCAGCTGGTCTTAATAACCAGCTTAATAACAGGGTGCCTTAAACCCCTGTACTACCAAGGCTCTTTTTCATTCTTTGACAAAGGGACTAAATTAGTGAACCAGAGAAATGCTATAGACATAGTATACTTAGATTTCAGTAAAGCATTTGATAAAGTAGATCGCAACCTACTTCTTTTTTTTATTTATTTATTTTGTCTTATACATCCAACAAATGTTAACTCTATAGTGGTCTACATCACAACGCGAGAAGGAAATAAACTTGTCCCATTACATATATAGGGTAACCTGCAAAAGTCTATTACATATACCAAATAACATATTTATCTAATATCTCGATTTACAGCTCTATTTGAAATCCAATTATACCATTGACTCCAAGATATATAATAGTCTGTGTCCCCTCGGCCTTTCAGCATCATAGTAAGCCGATCCGATTCCGCACAATTCATTATTTTCTGAATTATTACTTGTTCGGGTGGGCTAACATCCATCTTCCAGTATTCGGCCCATGCCAATCTTGCAGCTATTGTTATGTGTAGCAACAGGTACCATGCCGTTCTATTAATGTTTACGGGTCTTATCCCTAATAAAAATACCTCAGGATACAGTTGTATATGTTGCCCCAACATCTCATTAAGCCACTTCTGAATAATCTTCCAAAATTTCATTGCCTCTCGACAGGTCCACCATTGGTGGAAATATGTACCTTCTTTAATGCCACATTTCCCACAGGTTGAGGATGTTCCAGGGAACATTTTGGCAAGTCTGGCCGGCGGCAAATGCCATCGATATGCCTATTTCTTGCCAACCACCAAAAAGTGAGTTTCTAACTGCTTGACAAATCCTATTCAAAGGGTAATCCTCAATGGGGCTATCCCCACATGGAGGGAAGTAAGCAGGCCTAGGAAGCAGGAAAAGGAGGGAACCCCTTCCAAAAACCTTTGCCAAGGAAACTGAAAGGCCAGGCATCAAGACTGACCCAAAGGCACCAAATACGAAGCTAAATAGTGTCACCATTCACTTTTTCACTTGGCTCAGTTGCAAAGGTCGGCTGCTAGGAGTCAAAAACATCTCCCAAAAACCTTGGTGGAGACTGGACAGGCGTGTTTCTCCACCTCCTGTCACTAGATGGCGGTCAGGCAACGTCTGTGCCTAGAAAGCCATCAATACAGTGGTGCCATCCGCGATTGCACTTAAAAAAGGAGTTTTAAACCATTGACTACTGCATTGCTAGAAAGGATGGGAGGAGAGGAAAGCGCATAGGAACTTCCTCTTCCGGATGACTCATGGGAGGAAGTTGGTGTGCAGAGCGGCTTTTGTGCTGTTTCCATGGTGGAAGCAGCAGCTGGCAGGTGAGTGGAGGGCAGCAGGTGGGAGGAGAGTCCGGGAGCAACTTGGGCTGGAAGCGGAGAAGCAACTGGGCTGAAGCCTCTCAGCTGCGGCTGCTGCAGGTTCCTTCCCTCCCCAAATGGAAGCCCACTGGTGCTGCAGGCTGGGAAACTGGGGGCTGCAATTTCTGCTGGTGGGAAGCTTGAAAAAGCCTCTTTCAAGTGGAGGTTGGTTCTTTGGGAATGGCTTCCCTCCAGAGGTTGTGGCTGCTCCGTCCCTGGAGGGTTTTGAGGGGCGATTGGGCAGCCATTTGTTCTGGATGGAACAAATATAAAATGTATTGGCCACCAACCTTACCATGACACCACTGTGGGCGGCTTAGAGGCAGAAAATAATACATACACATTAAAATCTAAACAAATTGTAAGAAGAAAAATCCGGTCCGGTTCCAAGCCAGGAGAAAGGAGCTGGAAATAAAATGCTTAGTGACACAATTGCAGTCAGTAAGTGAGGACTACTTCAATTGGGATGTCACCAAAGGGGTTGTGGAAAGTATTTTCTGCCTTTACTTGGAGTTCATGGCTTCCATGGGCATAACTGGTGCTTCAAATCTTGCAGAGGCTTTAGGCCTCATTTGGTCAGCTAAAGCCCCCACATCTGTCAAGTTAGTGTCATGCAGATTTTCAGGTGTGGCTCAATAAAATAAAAGAGAGTTCAAGTGTGTTTGTTGATAAGCCAACGCATTTCTTCAGCTGAATAAAGTTGGGTCCCTCCTAAGAAGGAAGAAACCCTGAGCGTAGTGAAAGGCAGATATTTATACATTTCTTTGCTTTCACTTCATTACATAAGAGGCAGCTGGGACACAACAGATAAAGTATAGAAATATAGAAATAATAAAAATTATAAAAATAGTCAAGCATGCCTTCTGTGATTTTGGTCACGTGCCTAACAGACAGGCTAGTGGTTTCCTGTGAACCTTTCCATGGCCTCAGGAGACTATTGAGGCCTGAACTTCGGCCTTACCATCTCAACATATGAGCAAACATCAAATTCATCAGGTTCCTGATTAACATTAGCACAAAAGGTATGATCGAGATATTTTCAGGCTTGAAAGACACTGATTTTCTCCATATTGTAGGTCTCTGTATTATTTCTCTCTGATTGTATATATTTCCAAATGCATAATCTCTCCCCAGGACTTGCACATAAACAGTCATGTGAAAAAAAAGTACACTCTTCAAGAACTTACATCAGGTCATCTTTTAATTTATAAAAAGAAAGCCAAAACGGAGAAGTCATATGTAAAAAAAGTATGATTCAATAATTTGTAGAACCACCTTTAGCAGCAAGAACCCCTCCACCACCGTGCATGATGGTTTGCATGAGATGCTTGTGCTGATATGCTGTGTTTTGTTTTCGTCAAACACGTCACTGCATTACGGCCACCAACTCCACTTTGGTCTGGTCTGTGCAAAGGACAGTGTTCCAGAAGTCATATGATTTGTTCAGATGCAACTTTGCAAACCTCAGCCTTGCTTCTATGACCTTTTTAGAGAGAAGAGGGTTTCTCCTCACAACCCTTCCAAATAAACCATATTTGTCCAGTCTTTTTCTAATTTCGCTGTCATGAATCTTAACATTTAAAATGCTAAATGAAGCCTGTAGAGTCTGAGATATAACTCTTTGTTTTTTTAGTAATTTCTCTGGCCATTGCATGGTCTGGCCTTGGGGTGAATTTTCTTGGATGTCCAGTTCTGGGAAGATTGGCAACTGTCTTGAATATTTCCCACTTGTGAATAATCTTTTTAACAGATTAACAGAGTTGGAAGGGACCTTATAGGTCATCTAGTCCAACCCTGCCCCCCCCCCAACTCAAGCAGGGGACCATACACAATTTCTGACAAATGGCAGTCCAACCTTTTCTTGAAAGTCTCAAGTGATGAAGCTCCCACAACTTCCAAAGGCAAAGCTGTTCCATTGGTTGATTGTTCTCACTGTTAGAAAGTTCCTCCTTATTTCTAGGTTGAATCTCTCCTTGGAGCTTTGGAAAATAGCTTGACCCCCTCCTCTCTGTAGCAGCCCCTCAAATATTGGAAGACTGCTATCATGTCTCCCCTGGTCTTTCTCTTCACTAGACTAGCCATGCCCAGTTCCTGTAACCGTTCTTCATATGTTTTAGTCTCCAGTCCCCTAATCATCCTGGTTGCTCTCCTCTGCACTTTTTCTAGAGTCTCAACATCTTTTTTATAGTGTGGCGAAAACTGGATGCAGTACTCTAGGTGTGGTCTTACTAAGGCTTTATAGAGTGGTATTAGTACCTCACTTGATCTTGATTGTATCCCTCTGTTAATGCAATTTTGGATTGCATTGGCTTTTTTGCTGCCGCTGCACACTGCTGGCTCATATGTAGCTGGTTGTCCACTAAGACTCTCAAGATCTGTCTCACAGTCACTGCTATTAAACCTGGTTTCACCCACTTTATATGTGTACTTTTGGTTTTTCTTACCTAAGTGTAAGACTTTACTTTTCTCTACATTGAATTTCATTTTGTTAGATAGGGCCCAGTGTTCAAGTCTGTCAAAATCCATCTAGATCTTGAGCCTATCTTCTAGGGTCATGATGGCAAAACTATGGCACGTGTGCCACCTGTGGCACGAGGAGCCATATCTGTGGGCACACGAGCATTGCCCTAGTTCAGCTCCAGCATGCATGTGTACACTGGCCACCTGATTTTCGGGCCTTCTGAGCCCACTGGAAGTCGGGAAAAGGGCTGTTTCTGGCCTCCAGAGAGCCTCCAGGGAGGGGGGAGGCCATTTTCACCCTCTCCAGGCTCCAAGAAAGCCTCTGGAGCCTGGGGAGAGCGAAAAACAGGCCTACCAGGCCCACTGTGCCATCATGTGCCAAAAGTGGGGGGAGTGCGGGGTGGGGGTTGTGCGTGCATGTGCAGTGGGGGTGAGGCACATTGAATTATGGGTGTGGGCACGCACATGCGTGACCTCCCCATGCGACCCCCGCCTTTGGCATGCAACGGCAAAAAGGTTAGCCATCCCTGTTCTAGGGTGTTAGCTATTCCTGCCAGCTTAGTATCATCTACAAATTTGGTAAATTCCCCTTCTGTTCCCTTATCTAAGTTGTTTATGAAGATATTGAAGAGTACTAGGCCTAAGACATTACTTTTGGTCAAGGTGGATAAAAATCAATGATTTTTTTAAAAAAAAAACAGATTTTTTTAATTTAAATCGGATTTTTTCAATTTTTATCGAATTTATTTTAATAAAAAACTTTTGGGGTAAAAATCTATCGTAAAATAGTTTTCTATTTAAGATACATAAATAATTTAGTTTATTCAGCATGAAATGGAGCTTAGTTATGTAGCATGAGGCTGTATATTCTGCAACACTGGGACTGAGTCAACAGTGGGTCAAAGGAGTAGCAGAGATGACAGTTGCTCTTTAAAAATTATGATTTAAATCCAGTTGATTTAAATCAAGCCTTTTTACTAGTGATTTAAATCATGATTTAAATTGTGATTTAAATCAACTTGATTTAAATCAAATCCACCCTGCTTTTGGTACCCCACTGCTTACTTCTCTCCATGTAGACTTGGATCCATTAAGGGCTACTCGTTGAGTACGGTTTGTCAGCCAGTTGCGAATCCATCTGGTGGTGAAGCTATCCTACTTTTTTCTAGCTTACGAAGAAGTAGGTTGTGGTCTACTTTGTCAAATGCCTTGCTGAAGTCTAAGTATATTATGTTCACAGTATTTCGTTGGTCATCTAATTTAGTCACTATGTTGAAGTATGAAATAAGATTGGTTGCTAATTATTACTTTACTCGTTTCTAGGTGTTGGCAGATCTGGTTTTTTATTATCTTTTCCAGTATCTTCCCAGATATTGACGGCTGATTGGTTTTTAGTTTCCTGGGTCTGTTTTTTTCCCCTTTTTGAAGATGGGAACCACATCAACTCTTTTCCAGTCCTCTGGTAGTTCCCCGGTGTTTCAGGATTTTTAAAAGATGTGGTGCAGTGGTTCTGAGGTGACATCTGCCAGCTCCTTTAGAACTCTGGGATGTAACCCATCAGGTCCTGGTGGTTTGTATTCATCAAGATCAGACAGGGGTTTTCTTACTATTTTTTTGCCTATTTTATTTCCAGTCTGTTTTTTACAATTATGTTTCTGGTAGGTTGGGCTATAGTTTCTTTTTGCGTGAAGACCGATGCAAAGAATTTTCTGGTTTCTTCTTGGATTTCTTGTTTTTCTTTCTCAGCACTATTGTGCTGGTCTGGGCTTTTATGATCATATTTTTCAGAGTTTCCCAAGCTTCTTGAGTTGTTTTCCACTTTAGGATTTTCATCCAATGAATCTTTTCCAAGAAAATTTGATTTGCATTGGCCAAGAATCTTCCTCACTTTAGAATGATGTATTTTAAATTGTTTGGAAATGGCCTTTTAAACCTTCCCAAATTGATGGGCAGCAACAATTGCTTCTCTAAGATAACTGCTGATATCATTACTCTTTGGCATAGTATTAACACACACCTCAATGCCAGAGACCAGGAAACTCCTACAACTTCAGCTTTTATAGATGTAGTCACATTTGCTGACGATCAATTGATCAAGGGCACTTTATTAGGAGTATTTGGCTGCTACTTCACCTCTTTATACTATGGAAGTAGTGAGAAATTTCCTAATGGTGAGAATAATTAACCATCAGAACAGCTTGCCTTCAGACATTGTGGTGCTCCATCACTGGAAGCTTTTAAGAAGAGATGTAAAATCCACTTGTCTGTAATGGTATTGGGTGTCCTGCTTGAGCAGGGCTTGCATTAGAAGACCTCCAAGGTCCCTTCCAATTCTGTTATTCTCTTCTGTTCTGTTGCGATGATACTTATGATACCCTGATAAGTAAAACCATAGAAATGAAAGAGAATGTACTTTCTTTTTCACTTGACTGTATGTGAAAACAACCCTTTGCATTGCTAAGAATTTGTGATTGACCCAGTCAACAAGTGAATTTCATCCTAATGGATATACGAACTTGGATCTGGGTAGTCTTCCATGTGTGGTGATTAATGTAAGAGCTTCTTTGAGTATTATGGCATGTTTTCATTTTCATTGTAATGTAAAAGTTTTTCTTTTTTCCTCATCATCTGCAACAATTTCATGCACAATTAAAGATACATTTATATTTGAATCTTATAGAAAAAGAAGATGGCAATGAGCACTCTGGACAACTGAGGATAACAAGCAACATTGAACACCAAAGCAAGTCAGTCCAGAAGTCAAAATATTTTCCATTTCCTTCAGAGAGTCACACAATTATTCATCTTCCTCAGTAAGTGAGAGAGAAATAAAAAAAAATCAAGAAGACATTTCTGTTTGTGGGAAAAGCTTCAGTAAGAATTCCAGCCTGGTGAAACACCAGAGGACTCACACAGGAGAGAAACCGTTTTAAATGTCTTGATTGTGGAAAAAGTTTCAGTCAGCATTCCAGCCTAATGACACACCAGAGGACTCACACAGGAGAGAAACCCTTTGAATGTCCTGATTGTGAGAAATGTTTCAATGATAATTCCAGCCTGGTTAGACACCAGAGGATTCACACAGGAGAAAAACCCTTTGAATGTCCTGTTTGTGGGAAAAGTTTCAGTACCAATTCCAACCTTGTGACACACCAGAGGACTCACACAGGAGAGAAACCCTTTAAATGTCCTGATTGTGGGAAAAGTTTCAGTCAAAGTTCCTGTCTCATTGCCCACCAGAGGATTCATGCAGGAGAGAAACCGTTTGAATGTCCTGTTTGTGGGAAAAGTTTTAGTCAAAATTCCCACCTCGTGGAACACCAGAGGACTCACACAGGAGAGAAACCTTTTGAATGTCTTCACTGTGGGAAAAGTTTCAGTCAGAACTCCACCCTTGTTCAACACCAGAGGATTCACACAGGAGAAAAACCCTTTAAATGTCCTGACTGTGGGAAAAGTTTCCGTCATAATTCCAACCTCATCGGCCACCAGAGGATTCACACAGGAGAGAAACCCTTTGAATGTCCTGATTGTGGTAAAAGTTTCAGTCACAATTCCAGCCTGGTGAAACACCAGAGGATTCATACAGGAGAGAAACCCTTTAAATGTCCTGACTGCGGGAAAAGTTTCCGTCATAATTCCAACCTCATCGGCCACCAGAGGGTTCATACAGGAGAGAAACCATTTGAATGTCCTGATTGTGGTAAAAGTTTCAGCAAGAATTCCAACCTGGTTAAACATCAGAGGACTCACACAGGAGAGAAACCCTTTAAATGTCCTGACTGTGGGAAAAGTTTCAGTCAAAGTTCCTATCTCATTGTCCACCAGAGGATTCATGCAGGAGAGAAACCATTTGAATGTCCTGTTTGTGGGAAAAGTTTTAGTCAAAATTCCCACCTCGTGGAACACCAGAGGACTCACACAGGAGAGAAACCCTTTAAATGTCTTGCTTGTGGAAAAAGTTTCAGTCAGCATTCCAGCCTAATGACACACCAGAGGACTCACACAGGAGAGAAACCCTTTAAATGTCCTGATTGTGAGAAATGTTTCAATGATAATTCCAGCCTGGTTAGACACCAGAGGATTCACACAGGAGAAAAACTCTTTGAATGTCCTGTTTGTGGGAAAAGTTTTAGTACCAATTCCAACCTTGTGACACACCAGAGGACTCACACAGGAGAGAAACCCTTTAAATGTCCTGACTGTGGGAAAAGCTTTAGTAAGAATTCCAGCCTGGTGACACACCAGAGGACTCACACAGGAGAGAAAACCTTTAAATGTCTTGATTGTGGAAAAAGTTTCAGTGAGCATTCCAGCCTAATGACACACCAGAGGACTCACACAGGAGAGAAACCCTTTAAATGTCCTGATTGTGAGAAATGTTTCAATGATAATTCCAGCCTGGTTAGACACCAGAGGATTCACACAGGAGAAAAACCCTTTGAATGTCCTGTTTGTGGGAAAAGTTTCAGTACCAATTCCAACCTTGTGACACACCAGAGGACTCACACAGGAGAGAAACCCTTTAAATGTCCTGATTGTGGGAAAAGTTTCAGTCAAAGTTCCTATCTCATTGGCCACCAGAGGATTCATGCAGGAGAGAAACCTTTTGAATGTCTTCACTGTGGGAAAAGTTTTAGTCAGAACTCCACCCTTGTTCAACACCAGAGGATTCACACAGGAGAAAAACCCTTTAAATGTCCTGACTGCGGGAAAAGTTTCCGTCATAATTCGAACCTCATCAGCCACCAGAGGATTCACACAGGAGAGAAACCGTTTGAATGTCCTGATTGTGGTAAAAGTTTCAGTAACAATTCCAGCCTGGTGAAACACCAGAGGATTCATACAGGAGAGAAACCCTTTAAATGTCCTGACTGTGGGAAAAGTTTCCGTCATAATTCCAACCTCATCGGCCACCAGAGGGTTCACACAGGAGAGAAACCGTTTGAATGTCCTGATTGTGGTAAAAGTTTCAGCAAGAATTCCAACCTGGTTAAACATCAGAGGATTCACACAGGAGAGAAACCCTTTAAATGTCCTGACTGTGGGAAAAGTTTCAGTCAAAGTTCCTATCTCATTGTCCACCAGAGGATTCATGCAGGAGAGAAACCGTTTGAATGTCCTATTTGTGGGAGAAGTTTTAATCAAAATTGCCACCTCGTGGAACACCAGAGGACTCACACAGGAGAGAAACCTTTTGAATGTCTTCACTGTGGGAAAAGTTTCAGTCAGAACTCCACCCTTGTTCAACACCAGAGGATTCACACAGGAGAAAAACCCTTTAAATGTCCTGACTGTGGGAAAAGTTTCCGTCATAATTCCAACCTCATCGGCCACCAGAGGACTCACACAGGAGAGAAACCATTTGAATGTCCTGATTGTGGTAAAAGTTTCAGTAACAATTCCAGCCTGGTGAAACACCAGAGGACTCACACAGGAGAAAAACCCTTTAAATGTCGTGACTGTGGGAAAAGTTTCAGTCAGAATTCCACCCTGGTTCAACACCAGAGGATTCACACAGGAGAGAAACCCTTTTAATGTCCTGCCTGTGGAAACAGTTTCTGTCAGAATTCCAACCTCATTGGCCACCAGGGGATTCACATAGGAGAGAAACCCTTTGAATATCCTGATTGTGGAAAAGTTTCTCTCAGAAATCCCCGCTCGTGCACCGGAGGACTCCCACAGGGGAGAAACCATACGGGTGTCCAGACTGTGGGATAGATTTTGGAATTAGGACTAATCTTCTTAATCATAAGCTTATACACACAGGGGAGAAACCATTTGAGTGCCCTGTGGATGGTGCTTCAGGAAACCTTCCACCCTTATTGCACACAAGAAAATCCACATGAGGCCCTAAGTGATGAATGTAGAGAAGGTTTGAATTTCATTTCTAATGTTCCATTGTAAGTCCAGCTGAGAAATTGACAGTTAAATTTGACTATAAACAATTTGTCTAATTTTTTGTAGGCAAATATGTAATTGTATTAGACGGGAAAGAGGAAAAGAAAAAATTGCAACATATAAGTTTGATAAGAAGTTGCTGGAAGAACTTGCTGGATAAAAAGTTGCTGGATATAGATAGTCCTCGACTTACGAATGTAATGGAGCGTGCCCATTCCACCCGTCACTCGAGAATTCGTGGGAGTGAATCTCTTACATTGAACAACATCACTCCCTGCTTTGGCCCTTGCATTTGCTGCTTTCTTGTCCCACATCAGCCTGACGAGACCTCCGGCACCAAAAAAGCAGCATGCAGTTTCTCAGGACTGCTTTCTCGTCGGCAAAGCACTTGAGGATTGCGTTCCTTTATGCTTTGGCAGCCCTTTGTAAAAAGTTGCTGGATATAGGTAGTCCTCAAGTTTCAAATGGAGTGGATGCTGCCCATTCCATCTGTAACTCGAAAATTCATGGGAGTGAATCTCTTACATTGAATGACATCGCTCACTGCTATCGCCCATGTGTTCAATTATAGAATTTGAAGACATTTAATTCCTTGTCCAAGAAGCTTCTCCAGCTCTGAAGAAGAGCTGAAGAAGCTTATTGGATGACAAGCAAAATGTCTTCAAAGAAAAACCAGAAAGTCCAATTGCCTCTTTAAAAAGCACCTTTCTGTTTTAGGCACAAAGCCATCTCAGAGACTTTGACCTATCCTGTCCTCTCAGACCTTGGAAAGGGGAAATCGACTTTCAAAAAATCTTGCGAAGGAAATTGCAGGGAATACAGGATAACTTCCCAAAACCTATTTTTGCAACTAAGCGAACCTTGAAGAGGGAACCTTGACCTACTTAGCTTCTCAAGATTAGGGAGGGTTAGTCATGCTTAGTCATGCCAGCCACATGACCACGGAAAAAGTCTTCAGACAGTGCTGGCTCTTCGGCTTAGAAATGGAGATGAGCACCGCCCCTAGAGCCAGAACGACTAGCATGCATGTGTGGGGGGATCTTTTACCTTTACAAGATCAGCAGGGCAACTATGCTCTCTGTGAGATATGGTCAGGGAATATTAAACATTTTGACCCACTGGTCCAAAAATTCCTGTCTGATTCTTCCCCCTGTGCCCACGCAGGCCCAATTCAGCTTCTGGTCAATGTTTACTTACAACAAGACTTTAAGAAGTCTATACAACTTTTGGGGTGCAGGACCACCTCAGACATTTACTAGTGAATGTAACTCAATGGTCTGTGTGGATAATCACTGGGGACTTTTCATGACTGAGTGGAGAACACAAACTGTACCTCCCTGCTCTTAACCCAGCATAATATCCACCCTATCCAATGCCCTCCCTATGCTCAAACTGAAGAAAATGGCCTTAGGAGCAATGGTGGATTGCTCCCGGTTCGGTCCCATTCTTGTGAACTGGTAGTAAAAGTGGCGGGAAGCTCCGCCCACCCATCCGGATGTCATGATGGACAATCTGCGTCTGCGCAGAAGCACATGCACGCTCCCATTGCAAACTGGTAGTAAAGGTAAATAGAACCCACCCCTGCTTGGGAGATATGCAAACTCCATTACTAAAGAGGTGAGGAGAAAACATCTCCCAAGTCCACAGCACATGGATCCTATTCCGAAGAGACTCAGACAGACACCTCCCTAATTCACAGGAGTATAAGGAGGGGGAAGAAGGTACAAAGAAGATACTTTACATGTGTTTTCATCCAAAAAGGAAACATGACACAACTTATCAAAAACAGAATCATAAGTGTCAGATTAGGAATGCAAATTAAAATATGGAAAAATAAGGTAAGAGAACACCTGTCAGCTCTAGACCCGTGATGGCGAACCTATGGCACGCGTGCCAGTAGCCATATCAGTGGACACGTCAGCTCAGCTCTGGCGTGCATGTGCGTTCCAGCCAGCTGATTTTCGGGCCTTCTGGGCCCACCAGAAGTAGGGAAGCGGGCTGTTTCCTGCCTCCGGAGGGCCTGGGTGGGGGCGTGGGGAGGGCCCATTTTTCTTTCTTACCTGGCTCCAGATCCTCTCTATGCATCTGCGGAGGGCGAAAACAGCCTTTCCCGCTCCCTCGGAGGCTCTCCAAAGGCCTGAAACGGCCCATTTCCCAACTCCCAGTGGGACAGGAAGTGATGTTTTTTGCTGCCCAAAGCCTCCAGAAACTCCTAGAGAGGCTCTGGAGGCTGCGGACAGCAAAAAAGTTACTTCCTGTCCCACCTGGAGTTGGGAAATGGGCTGTTTCAAGCCTTTGGAGGGCCTCCAAGGGAGTGAGAAAGGCTGTTTTCCCCTTCCCAGATAAATAGAGAGGATCTGGAACCAGGTAAGAAAGAAAAATGGGCCTACCAGGCCATCACGTGCCAAGAGCGGGGGGGGGTTCCGTGCTCATGCGCAGGGCACAGCGCATAGAATTATCAGTGTGGGCACACGCGCACGACCCTCCCCTGCTCCCCCCCTCTCCTGGCATGCGATGGCAAAAAGGTTAGCCATCGCTGCTCTAGACCAATTCAAATCATTGGGTCAGGATGGACTGCAGCCAGAGTTCTGAAGGAACTAGTAAATGTGATTTCAGAACCATTGTAACATATGTTTCAAAGTCCTTGGAGCATGGGGGAACTAGAGGTAGACCTCAATTTACAATAGTTAATTTAGTGACCGAAGTTACAACAACATTGAAAAAAGTGATTTATGTCCATTTATCACACTTATTACCATTGTAGCATCCCCCTGGTCATGTGATTTACATTCAGATGCTTGACATTTATGATGGTTGCAGTGTCCCAGAGTCATGTGATCCCCTTTTGTGACATGCTATCAACCAAACTCAATGGGGAAACCAGATTCACTTAACAACAGTGTTACTCATTTAACAATAGCAATGATTCATTAACAAATGTGGCAAGAAAAGTCATAAAATGGGGCAAAATTCACTTAACAAGTTTTTCACTTAACAACATAAATTTTGGACTCAATTGTGGTTGTAAGTTCAGGACTACCTGTAACTGAGGACTGGAAAAGAGCTGATAGGGTTCCCATCTTTAAAGAGGTAAAAAACCTGCAGGAATTTACAGACAAAACAGCCTAACACCTGGTAATATCTTGGAAAACATATCCAAGCAATAAATCTAAAAATGGACTTGTCTGAAATGATATAGTCTCCTGCTTGAGCAGGGAGTTGGAACAGAAGACCTCCATGGTCCCTTCCAACTCAATCCTGATTGATTGATTGATTGATTAAACCATTGAGTACTGCATTGCTAGAAAGGATGGGAGGAGAGGAAAGCGCAGAGGAACTTCCTCTTCCGGATGGCTGATGGGAGGAAGTTGGTGTGCAGAGCGGCTTTTCTGCTCTTCCCAGGGTCGAAGCAGCAGCTGGCAGGTGAGTTGAGGGCTGCAGGTGGGAGGAGAGTCCGGGAGCAACTCGAGCTGTTCGGTTCCCTCCACGGCCTGGAAGCGGAGAAGCAACTGGGCTGAAGCCTCTCAGCTGCTGCTGCTGCAGGTCCTCTGCCTCTGCAGGTTCTAAACCCCGGCTGGAAACCTCTGCTCTGCGGGCAGCCGGGGCAGAGAGGCGATGATGGGCAAAGGGAGCCGCAGCCCCGCATGGAAAGTCAGCCACATTGATGTGGTGAGGCCTGGGAGGTGCGCGAGCAAGGGAGGAAAGGTGCTCGTGCCCCTTGCTGCCTTCAGACCACTCACGTTCCACACACAACTGCAGAAGGGGAGGAGCTTGATGGTGGCACGCAGAAGGACCCTCTCTCTGCCGGACCCCTGGCTGTGAGTGCTCAGGCCGCCCAGGGCCTCCTGCACCCTGAAAATAATAAGACCCGAAGGGCCAAGCCCTTATTTTGAGGTTCAAAAAAATATAAGACAGGGTCTTATTTTTGGGGAAACACTGTAGCATCCCCATGGTCATGTCATTTACATTCGGATGCTCAACAACTAATTCACATTTATGACTGTTCCAGAGTCATGTGATCCTCTTTTGTGACCTACTGAAAACCAAAGTCAATTGGGAAATCAGATTCACTTAACGACTGTGCTATAAGTGTATTATTAATTTAAGATTAGTAAGAATTCACTTAACAAATGAGTGAAGAAAAGTAGTACAATGGGGCAAAACTCACTTAACAAATTCCTTACTTAAGAACATAAATTTTGGACTCAATTGTGGTGGTAAATTCAGGATTACCTGTAACTGAGGACAGAAAAAGAGCTGATGTGGTTCCCATCTTCAAAACAGGTATTAATGACATTAATACCTGGTAACATCTTGGAAAACATATCCAGGCAACAAATCTGTGAACACCCAGAAGCAAACAAGTTATAACCAGTAGCCAACATGGGTTGATCAAAAACAGATCATGCCAAGCAAACTTTATTTCATTCTTTGACAAAGTGGCTAAATTAGTGAACCAGAGAAATGCTATAGACATAGTATACTTAGATTTCAGTAAAGCATTTGATAAAGTAGATCACAACCTACTTCTTTTATTTATTTATTTATTTTGTCTTATACATCCAACAAATGTTAACTCTATAGTGGTCTACATCACAACGCGAGAAGGAAATAAACTTGTCCCATTACATATATAGGGTAACCTGCAAAAGTCTATTACATATACCAAATAACATATTTATCTAATATCTCTATTTACAGCTCTATTTGAAATCCATTTATACCATTGACTCCAGGATATATAATAGTCTGTGTCCCCTCGTCCTTTCAGCATCATAGTAAGCCGATCCGATTCCGCACAATTCATTATTTTCTGAATTATTACTTGTTCGAGTGGGCTAACATCCATCTTCCAGTATTGGGCCCATGCCAATCTTGCAGCTATTGTTATGTGTAGCAACAGGTACCATGCCGTTCTATTAATGTTTACGGGTCTTATCCCTAATAAAAATACCTCAGGACACAGTTGTATATGTTGCCCCAACATCTCATTAAGCCACTTCTGAATAATCTTCCAAAATTTCATTGCCTCTCGACAGGTCCACCATTGGTGGAAATATGTACCTTCTTTAATGCCACATTTCCCACAGGTTGAGGATGTTCCAGGGAACATTTTGGCAAGTCTGGCCGGCGGCAAATGCCATCGATATACCTATTTCTTGCCAACCACCAAAAAGTGAGTTTCTAACTGCTTGACAAATCCTATTCAAAGGGTAATCCTCAATGGGGCTATCCCCACATGGAGGGAAGTAAGCAGGCCTAGGAAGCAGGAAAAGGAGGGAACCCCTTCCAAAAACCTTTGCCAAGGAAACTGAAAGGCCAGGCATCAAGACTGACCCAAAGGCACCAAATACGAAGCTAAATAGTGTCACCATTCACTTTTTCACTTCGCTCAGTTGCAAAGGTCGGCTGCTAGGAGTCAAAAACATCTTCCAAAAGAATTGGTGGAGACTGGACAGGGGTGTTTCTCCACCTCCTGTCGCTAGATGGCGGTCAGACAATGTCTGTGCCTAGAAAGCCATCAATACAGTGGTGCCATCCGTGATTGTGCTTAAAAAAGGAGTTTTAAACCATTGACTACTGCATTGCTAGAAAGGATGGGAGGAGAGGAAAGCGCATAGGAACTTCCTCTTCCGGATGACTCATGGGAGAAAGTTGGTGTGCAGAGCGGCTTTTGTGCTGTTTCCATGGTGGAAGCAGCAGCTGGCAGGTGAGTGGAGGGCAGCAGGTGGGAGGAGAGTCCGGGAGCAACTTGGGCTGGAAGCGGAGAAGCAACTGGGCTGAAGCCTCTCAGCTGCGGCTGCTGCAGGTTCCTTCCCTCCCCAAATGGAAGCCCACTGGTGCTGCAGGCTGGGAAACTGGGGGCTGCAATTTCTGCTGGTGGGAAGCTTGAAAAAGCCTCTTTCAAGTGGAGGTTGGTTCTTTGGGAATGGCTTCCCTCCAGAGGTTGTGGCTGCTCCGTCCCTGGAGGGTTTTGAGGGGCGATTGGGCAGCCATTTGTTCTGGACGGAATAGGGCCTCCTGCTGAACAGGGGATGGACTAGTAGACCTCCAAGGTCCCCCCAACTCAATTCTTCTCTTATGGACCTGATGTTTTCTGGGCAACAAGATCGGATTTATGTGTCTCTAGTCGTTTCTGGGTTGTTTTACTTCCATTTCTAGCTAACAAGCACCGTGTTTTCCTATCAGTGCCCCCATCCGTGTATTCACCAGGTTCAACTGTGCTTATCCCAGCACTTTTTAAAAACCAGTTATTGCATGTTTTGACTGTTCAGTTGTATTTATTTATTTATAAAATGTATTGGCCACCAACCTTACCATGACATAACTGTGGGTGGTTTAGAGACAGAAAATAATACATACACATTAAAATCTAAATAAATTGTAGGAAGAAAAATCCAGTCCGGTTCCAAGCCAGGAGAAAGGAGCTGGAAATAAAATGCTTAGTGACACAGATGCCAATCCCAATTGCAGTCAGTAAGTGAGGACTACTTCAATTGGGATGTCACCAAAGGGGTTGTGGAAAGCATTTTCTGCCTTTACTTGGAGTTCATGGCTTCCATGGGCATAACTGGTGCTTCAAATCTTGCAGAGGCTTTAGGCCTCATTTGGTCAGTTAAAGTCCCCACATCTGTAAAGTTAGTGTCATGCAGATTTTCAGGTGTGGCTCAATAAAATAAAAGAGAGTTCAAGTGTGTTTGTTAATAAGCCAATGCATTTCTTCAGCTGAATAAAGATGGGTCCCTCCTAAGAAGGAAGGAACCCTGAGCATAGTGAAAAGCAGATATTTATACATTTCTTTGCTTTCGCTTCATTACATAAGAGGCAGCTGGGACATGACACATAAGGTATAGAAATATAGAAATTATAAAAATTATAAAAATAGTCAAGCATGCCTTCTGTGATTTTGGTCACGTGCCTGAACTTCGGCCTTAGAATCTCAACATATGAGCAAACATCAAATTGATCAGGTTCCTGATTAACATTAGCGTATAATTGAGATATTTTTCAGGCTTGAAAGACATTGATTTTCTCCATATTTTCTGCGGTGGTTCTCCTCCTTCCTCTCCGACAGCTCGCAGTTCGTGTTGACAGGGGGGCAGAGGTCGACTTTGGGGCGCCTTGCATGGGGAGTGCCGCAGGGGTCGGTCCTCTCGCCCCTTCTGTTCAACATTTATGTGAAGCTGCTGGGTGAGATCATGCGTGGTTTTGGGGTGAGAGTCCATCTGTACGCTGATGATACTCAGCTGTACATCTCCACCCCAGACCACCCCAACGATGCCCTTGATGTGATGTCTCGCTGCCTGGAGGCTGTGGGTCTGGATGGGGAGAAATAGGCTCAGACTCAACCCCTCCAAGACCGAGTGGCTGTGGTTCCCGGCGACGCGATATAGTCAGCTGGTGCTATCGCTGACTATTGGGGGTGAGTCCTTACCCCCCACAGAGAGGGCCCGCAATCTGGGCGTCCTCCTGGACGCACGACTGTCTTTAGAAGAACATATGACAGCCATGGCCAGGGGGGCTTTTAATCAGGTTCGCCTGATCCTCCAGTTACGGCCCTTTCTGGACTGCGACGCCCTGCGCACAGTCACTCATGCCCTTGTCACCTCCCGACTGGACTACTGCAATGCTCTCTACATGGGGCTCCTCTTGAAGAGCACCTGAAGGCTCCAACTGGTCCAGAATGCGGCCGCGCGGGTGGTTATGGGCGCAACTCGTTGTGCCCACGTGACACCCCTCCTGCGCGAGCTGCACTGGCTCCGAGTGGTCTTCCGGGTGCGATTCAAGGTGTTGGTTACCACCTTTAAAGCTCTCCATGGCATTGGACCTGGATACCTTCGAGACCGTCTTCTGCCACCAGTAGCCTCCCACCGGCCAGTTCGCTCCCACAGAGAGGGTCTCCTCAGGGTGCCATCGGCCAAATTATGTCGCCTGGCGACACCCAGGGGGAGGGCCTTCCCTGCCCTTTGGAATGATCTGCCCCCAGAAATTCCTAAAATCTCTGATCTCCGTGTGTTTCGCTGTGCCCTCAAAACCATGTTGTTCCGCCAGGCTGGGCTATCAATGTAAACATTTTAATTGGTTTTAAATGGGATTTTAAATTTGGGGTTTTACAAATTGGGCCTATTATTTAATAATTTTAATTATTTTTAAATTTTGTCTGTCTTTGTGTTTTTAATTAGGCTGTACACCGCCCTGAGTCCTTCGGGAGAAGGGCGGTATAGAAATAAAATAAAATAATAAAATAAAATAAAATAAAATAAAATAAAATAAAATAAAATAAAATAAAATAATAAAATAAATAAAATAAAATAAAATAAAAAATAAAATAAAATAAAATAAAATAAAATAAAATAAAATAATAAAATAAAATAATAAAATAAAATAAAATAAAATAAATAAAATAAATAAAATAAATAAAATAAAATAAAATGAAATGAAATAAACTAAGATAATAATAAAATAATAATAAAATAAATAAATAAATAAATAAATATTGTAGATGTGTGTATTATTTCTCTCTGAATGTGTATCTCTTCAAATGCATAATCTCTCCCCAGGACTTCCAGATAAACAGTCATGACTCTTCTTGACTTCTATGATTTTATATATTGGGACGTAGTAAAAATCAATTGGTCCTTAGAAGTTCTTAAAAGTAGGTTAATACAACCACAAAAGAACAACAACACATGACATATTACATCAGGTCATCTTTTATTTTATAAAAAGAAAGCCAAAACAGAGAGGTCATGTGTTAAAAAAAAGTATGATTCAATAATTGTAGAACCACCTTTAGCAGCAACAACTAGAAGTAATTCTTTTCTGTATGACTTTATTAACCTCTTGCAGCATTGTGGAGGAATTTTGGCCCATTCTCCTTTACAACGTTGCTTCAGTTCATTGAGGTTTGTGGGTGTTTTTTTATGCACAACTCTCTTGAGGTCCTGTCAATCGGGTTGAGGTCTGGAGTTTGACTGCCATGGCAACACCTTGATTCTTTTCTTTTCCAGCCATTCTGTTGTAGATTTGCTGATGTGTTTTGCGTCCATTGTCCTGTGGCATAATCCTATATCAGCCAAGCTTTAGCTATTGGACAGATGGCCTCACTTTTGACTCTAGAATACTTTGGTATATAGATGAGTTCATGGTCAACTCAAAGAGTGCAAAGTGTCCAGGTCCTGTGGCTGCAAAACAAGCCCCAATCATCACCCCTCCACCACCGTTCATGACGGTTTATATGAGAAGCTTGTGCTGATATGCTGTGTTTGATTTTCATCAAACGTGTCACTGCATTACGGCCAACCAACTCCCCTTTGGTCTGGTCTGTGCAAAGGACAGTGTTTCAGAATTCATGTGATTTGTTCAGATGCAACTTTGCAAACCTCAGCCATGCTGCTATGACCTTTTTAGAGAGAAGAGGGTTTCTCCTCACAACTCTTCCAAACAAACCATACTTATTCAGTGTTTTTCTAATTGCACTGTCATGAATAGAGTCTGAGATATAGCTCTTTGTTTTTTTAGTAATTTCTCTGGCGATAGCATGGTCTGGCCTTGGGGTCAATTTTCTCGGATGTCCAGTTCTGGGAAGATTGGCAATGTTCTTAAATGTTTCCCACTTATTTATTTATTTATTTATTTATTTATTTATTATTTATTATTTATTATTTATTATTTATTATTTATTATTTATTATTTATTATTTATTTAAATTTTTATACCGCCCTTTTCCCGGCCAGCAATAAAACAAACATATACATAAAATTTAAAAACAATTTAAAATATATTAAATAATTTGGCCCCAATATTATTAAAAAAACTAAGACAACCATTAAAATTCATGTTTAGGCCAGCCCAGGTTGTTGGAACAATAACGTCTTGAGGGCACGGTGAAAGGCGCGTAGGTCAGGGATCATCCGTATCTCCGAGGGCAATTCATTCCAGAGGGCAGGTGCCCCCACAGAGAAGGCTCTCCCCCTGGGAGTCGCCAGTTGACATTGTTTGATCGACGGCACCCTGAGGAGTCCCTCTCTGTGGGAGCGTATTGTTCGGTGGAAGGCTATCGGTAGCAGAAGGCGATCTCGTAAGTACCCAGATCCTTATGAATAATCTTTTTAACAGATTAACAGAGTTGGAAGGGACCTTATAGGTCATCTAATCCAACCCCCCCACTCAAGCAGGAGACCCTAGACCATTTCTGACAAATGGATGTCCAATCCTTTCTTGAAAGTCTCAAGTGATGAAGCTCCTACAACTTCCGAAGGCAAGTTGTTCCATTGGTTGATTGTTTTCACTGTTAGAAAGTTCCTCCTTATTTCTAGGTTGAATCTCTCCTTGGAGCTTTGGAAAATAGCTTGTCCCCGTCCGCTCTGTAGCAGCCCCTCAAATATTGGAAGACTGCTTTCATATCTCTCCTGGTCCTTCTCTTCACTAGACTAGCCATGCCCAGTTCCTGTAACCGTTCTTCATATATTTTAGTCTCCAGTCCCCTAAGCATCCTGGTTGCTCTCCTCTGCACTTTTTCTAGAGTCTCAACATCTGTTTTATAGTGTGGTGACCAAAACTGGATGCAGTACTGTAGGTGCAGTTTTACTAAGGCTTTATAGAGTGGTATTAGTACCTCAGTTGATCTTGATTGTATCCTCTGTTAATGCAACTTAGGAGCAATTGATCAAGGGCAATGTCAGCCTTCCGGTCACCGGGGCTGCCAATCGCACAGAGACCTTGGCCGCACCCCATATCGAGAGCCGCCAGATGTGATGAACATTCATGGGGGCCTGGCTTACATGCTGCACTGGTGATCTGTCCCCATCCATACACACACACAAACACAGCCAGCTGACGGTTAAGGAAACACTTTGGAACGCACCCAGTTTCTTTATCTCCGACTTGGCAGCGATAGACACACCGTCTGCCAAGTGCCTTTATTTTCACAGAAAAACAGACAGATAAAATACTCAGCTTCCGAATGTCCGACAACAATAATTATTTCTCTCCGCAGTTCCGAACGAGGCTTTAGTGACTATCCAAGGTTAGTTTTGTTCGTCACAAGGATCCCTGACCACTACCCTCTATTATATAGTCTCTGGGGTGTGGTCCAGTGACTCAGTTCTAATCCCTAGCACGCCTCCTAAGCTGTTGCAATCGTTTATCACGCCTTCGGAGGCGTGCGTCCAGGAATGATGTTTGTTCGTCACTCTGATCCGAGCCACCTGTCTCCCTGCTAATCTCCTCTCCCTCGGCCGGCACCTGAGACAATGCCAGAGGGGAGGGGCCTGGAGAGGGAGGCCTGGCTGACTCCTCTTCCTCATGCTCGGAGCTTTCTTCCTCCGATGGGACAGGCTCAGAGGGCGGGGCCACAACAGCTGGGAGCCGTCAGCTCGGAGGCATGGCTATACCCACACGCTGCGCCGGGAGCCGCCAGCTCAGCGGCACAAGGCTTCCATGGCTTGAAAAGTATCTGCTGGTGTTGAGGCGGTGCCCTGCTTTATCCTGGGCCGCGCAAAGCCTGCCAGGGCTTGATGGGAGGTGAGGCCTGCGTGTGGTGCCCACAGTATGTATTCCCTGCGCGGTGGGCTGTGTCATCACTCGACGCCACGTAAGGGATGGGGGGTTATAGAGGCGGGTCCCAGGGATAATGGAGCTGTGAGGGTGGAGCTGACGTATATAAACGGTGGAGGGATTAACCACGTTAGCACTGACTTTGCCTATTGCCTGTTTGTCACTTTGTGCTGCTTGTTATAGCCTAATGGTGAGAACAGTTAACCAGCAGAACGGCTTTCCTTCAGACATTGTGGTGCTCCATCACTGGAAACCTTTCAGAAGAGACGTAATAGCCACTTCTCCGAAATGGTATAAGGTCTCCTGCTTGAGCAGAGGCTGGATTAGAAGACCTCCAAGGTCCCTTCCAATTCTGTTATTCTCTTCTGTTCTGTTGCGATGATATTTATGATACCCTGATAAGTAAAACCATAGAAATGAAAGAGGATGTACCGTATTTTTTAGAGTATAAGACGCACCAGAGTCTAAGACTCACCTACCATTTTGGGGTTTTTTTTTAAAAAAAAGTTTTTTTTTATTTTTTAGACAAACACACATACAAACATACAATGTATTTTCTTTGAACAGAGTATTTGGCAGTGTTTAGTCATTTCAATTAAATTTACAATTTCTAAATTTCCTTTTTGCCATATTTATTCCACATCTATTTTTTTTAAAAAAACCAATTATCCTTCATCCTCATCTCTAATCTTAATCAAATTCAATTTTTCCCTTCTATTCTATATTATACCCCTTTCCATTGTCATCTATTTTTATATCCATCCTCACATTGGTTAATTAGGTAATATTACAATTGTTTAATACAAATTCAACATTTTAATATAAATCAATTAGTTATATAACTATCTTTTTTTGTATATTAATCAATATGAACATGAATATTCCAATTATTTCCATGCAATCCAATTTCTTACAAATCAATTAATTATATTTACCAATAAACCAAATATGTTACTCATTTTCACATCTTAAACTCTCCCAATAACCCATATAGTTTTGCCCATATAATCTTCCAAACTACAACTTAATCATTTCTACTTTCATCACAATATATAATTAAAAATATTTCAATCATCACAATTTCCCTAATTAAATTTAAAAATGTTCTAGCTGTTATCCAAGCTATAATTTAATCTTTTTTACTTTCACCACCATATACCATTAAACATATTTCAATTGTTACAGTTTATACTTCTTCATATTTCTAAAAAAGAAAAACTTATTGTCTAGATTTCAAAAATACAAAGACAAATATTCCAATTATTATTCATTTCATTTTTACAATCATGCTTTTCCATTTATTTCTTACTACTATTCATATTTAAATTCTAAATATGTATAACATTTTTCTCTTTCATTTCTTTTTCTTTTTCTCCCTTCCCATTTTTATTTTTTATTTTTGCTTTTTACTTTCTCCTTTTTTTCTTTTGTGTTTAAAATCTTGAACTCTACTCTTTTGCCCTAAATTTCCCATTGTTTGCACCTACCTTTTTTGGTAAGGAAAAAGAAGAAAAAGAAATCTGCCTCTGCCTCTGCCTAATTTTGCCTCATTACAGCAAACACCCTGCTTTACTTTCAGTTTCGTTTTCAGCATAGCTTGATTAGCACAAGGAAAAAAAATCTGCAGCAATTTACCTCTTTGCAGCAAGCAGCAGAGCCCTGCACAAAACAGCTGAGAGCAAATCAGCTGAGAGTCGGGAGGCCGATCTAATCAACTTGTGCTAATTAGTCTATGCTGAAGCTGAAAGGAGCTGTTTTTTCTTGCTGTTTGCTTGCAAGGAGGTAACTGCTGCGAGGCACAGGCCAAAGGGTGGGGACCAGTGGGTGGGCAGGGCTACATTCGGTGTATAAGATGCACCTGAATTTTCACCCCCTTTTAGGGGGGAAAAAGGTGCGTTTTATACTCTGAAAAATACGGTACTTCTTTTTCTCTTGACTGTGTGTGAAAACAACCATTTGCATTGCTAAGAATTTGTGATTGACCCAGTCAACAAGGGAATTTCATCATTGAATGGATATTCAAACTTCGATCTGGGTAGTCTTCCATGTGTCATGATTAATGTAAGAGCTTCTTTGAGTATTATGGCATGTTTGCTTTTTCATTGTAATGTAACCCTATTTCTTTTTTTCTCATCTTCTGCAATCATTTCATGCACAATTAAAGATACATTTTTATTTGAATCTTATAGACAAAGAAGATGGCAATGAGTACTCTGGACAACTGAGGATAACAAGCAACATTGAACACCAAAGCAAGTCAGTCCAAAAATCAATATATCTTCCATTTCCTTCAGAGAGCCACACAATTCTTAATCTTCCTCAGCAAGTGAGAGGAAAACGAGAGAAAATCAAGAAGAGATTTCTAGCTGGGAAAAGCAGAGTGTGAAATTCAAGCATACATTACATGAAAAGTCAAGGGAGATTATTTTTCCATTGGGCAAAAGAGGGAAATAACTAGAAGTTACTGGGGAGGAAAAGGTCAATTGGAAAGCCACGTAGAGCAGACAGAGTTGCAGGCCCACTCTGGGAGGAAGAAAATGGCTTGAATAAAAACACTGCTAAACAAGAAACCATCCATATTTTTGATCTCCAAAGGAATATGAGTTGTGGAAAAGCTCCATAGATGTGCCGGTTGTGGGAAAGATACAACTTGCAAATCACAGCTGATTATGCCTGAGAGGATCCCGACTGGAGAAAAGAACAACAATACTCTAAATGAAGCAAAACCTCTGATCAGAACACCTCCATTGTGGTTCTTGGAAGGACCCACACAGGAGAGAAGCCCTACAAGTGCTCCCAATGCAGTAAATGCTTTAGGAAGCATGGCAACATGGACTCACACCAAGGAGAAACCGTTTGAATGTCCTGATTGTGAGAAATGTTTCTGTGATAAATCCAACCTGGTGATACACCTGAGGATTCACACACGAGAGAAACCCTTTGAGTGTCCTGATTGTGGAAAAAGCTTCAGTCGGCATTTCAGCCTGGTGACACATCAAAGGACTCACACAGGCGAGAAACCCTTTGAGTGTCCTGATTGTGAGAAAAGTTTCAGTCAGAATTCCAACCTGGTGAGACACCAGAGGACTCACACAGGCGAGAAACCCTTTGAGTGTCCTGATTGTGGTAAAAGTTTCAGTAACTATTCCACTCTGGTGAAACACCAGAGGACTCACACAGGAGAGAAACCCTTTGAATGTCCTGACTGTGGGAAAAGTTTCCGTCAGAATTGCAACCTGGTTCAACACCAGAGGATTCACAGAGGCGAAAAACCCTTTGAATGTCCCGATTGTGGTAAAAATTTCAGTACCAATTTCAGCCTCATGACACACCAGAGAATTCACACAGGAGAAAAACCCTTTGAATGTCCTGACTGTGGGAAAAGTTTCCGTCAGCATTCCAACCTCATCAGCCACCAGAGGACTCACACAGGAGAGAAACGCTTTGAGTGTCCTGATTGTGGAAAAAGCTTCAGTCGGCATTTCAGCCTGGTGACACACCAAAGGACTCACACAGGTGAGAAACCCTTTGAGTGTCCTGATTGTGAGAAAAGTTTCAGTAACAATTCCACTCTGGTGAAACACCAGAGGACTCACACAGGAGAGAAACCGTATGAGTGTCCTGTTTCTGGGAAAAGTTTCAGTCAGAATTCCAGCCTTGTGATACACCAGAGGATTCACACAGGAGACAAACCCTTTAAATGTCTTAACTCTGGGGATAGTTTAAGTCAAAATTCTTACCTCGTTTCACACCAGAGCACTCATAAGGGAGAGAAACCGTTGGAATGTCCTGGTTCTGAGAAAAGTTTCAGTAAGAATTCCAGCCTGGTGACACACGAGAGGACTCACACAGGAGTGAAACCATTTGAATGTCCTTACTGTGGGAAAAGTTTCAGTAACAATTCCACTCTAGTGAAACACCAAAGGATTCACACAGGAGAGAAACCATTTGAATGTCCTGTTTGTGAGAAAAGTTTCAGTCAGAATTCCCACCTCATAAAACACCAGAGGATTCACACAGGAGAGAAACCCTTTGAATGTCCTGATTGTGGTAAAAGTTTCAGTCACAATTCCACCCTGGTTCAACACCAGAGGATTCACACAAGAGAAAAACCCTTTGAATGTCCTGACTGTGGTAAAAGTTTCAGTCAGAATTCCAGCCTGGTGAAACACCAGAGGACTCACACAGGAGAAAAACCCTTTGAATGTCCTGACTGTGGGAAAAGTTTCCGTCAGAATTGCAACCTGGTTCAACACCAGAGAATTCACAGAGGCGAAAAACCCTTTGAATGTCCCGATTGTGGTAAAAATTTCAGTACCAATTTCAGCCTCATGACACACCAGAGAATTCACACAGGAGAAAAACCCTTTGAATGTCCTGACTGTGGGAAAAGTTTCCGTCAGCATTCCAACCTCATCAGCCACCAGAGGACTCACACAGGAGAGAAACTCTTTGAGTGTCCTGATTGTGGTAAAAGTTTCAGTCAGAATTCCAGCCTGGTGAAACACCAGAGTATTCACACAGGAGAAAAACCCTTTGAATGTCCTGACTGTGGGAAAAGTTTCAGTCATTATTCCAACCTCATCGACCACCAGAGGACTCACACAGGAGAAAAACCATTTGAATGTCCTGACTGTGGGAAAAGTTTCAGTAAGAATTTCAACCTGGTTCAACACCAGAGGACTCACACAGGAGAGAAACCGTTTGAATGTTCTGATTGTGGTAAAGGTTTCAGTACGAATTCCACCCTGGTGAAACACCAGAGGACTCACACAGGAGAAAAAACCCTTTGAATGTCCCGATTGTGGTAAAAGGTTCAGTACCAATTTCAGCCTAGTTCAACAACAAAGCACTCACACAGGAGGGAAACTATATGAGTGTCCAGACTGTGGGAATGATCCCAGTACTAAGGTTAACCTTATAAATCATGTACTTATACACAAAGGGGAGAAATCATTTTAATGCCCCTTGTGTGGACGATGCTTCAGGAAACGTTCCACCCTTATTGCACACAAAAAATCTCCTGAGGCCCCAAGCGATTAATGTAGAGAAGGGTTGAATTTCATTTCTAGTGTCCCAGTGTAAGTCCAGCTGAGAAATTGACTATTTAAATTGATTAAATTAAATAGAATTTGCCTGATTTTTTGTAGCAAATATGTAATGGTGCAGAGGAAAGAAAAAATGGAACATATTACTTTGATAATGGCTATCTGGCCTTCAGCATAAGAAGTTGCTGGATATTTATTTTTGTAGAAATTTGGCAATTATGTAAAAATCTTTTTGGGAATGTTCTTTGCATTTTTGTGATAGTGGATGATAGAAATGCTATGTGCCAGGAATCCCAGCCTTTTTCTCCCTGTGTGCCCCCAAGATTTTCAGCCTTAGAATTCTCCAGCCAGCATCTCTTGGGGATTGGAGCCCTGAGACTATAGATTGTGGCTCCTTATATAAGGAGAAAGCAAGATGAGAAGAGAGACAGAGGGGATTCAAAGTTTATCTTTTCCTAACAGTTCCAGGAATTCAGTGCACCAAGTACGTCTGTTCAGGTTGTGTCAAGAATGAGGCACCCAAGTGGAAGAAACCATATGAATAGCAAATATGGGGGAGTTTAGGGCAGTGAGAAAAGCAATGTGACCTTCATGGTTAAAAAGCCAAAAGAAGCAATTTGATTGAAACATGTCAGTTGCTACATTTTCCTTTTCTCCCCAGATTTTATTCCATTTGTGGTACATGATTTAAAACTGGCTCTCCTTCATATGAGGGTGGCTTCACTGTGATTCTCTTGACTGTTTTTCACACAACCACTGCAGCAACCCCATGGTCACATGTTCAAAATTCAGGTGCTTAGCAAAACACCCATAATTATGATGGTTGCAGTGTCCCAGACTCATGTGATCCTCTTTTTGCACCTTCTGACCAACAAAGTCAACAGGGAAGCCAAATTCGCTTAACAACTGTGTGACTAATTTAACAACTTCAGTGATTCACTTAACAACTGTGGCAAGAAAAGTTGTAAAATGGGACAAAACTCACTTAACAGATGTTTCACTTAGCAACAGTGAAATTTTGGGCTGAATTGCGGTATCAGAGTTGGAAGCGACCTTAGAGGTGGTCTAGTCCAATCCACCGGTCAAGACAGGAGACCCTATTCCATTTCAGACAAGAGACTGTCCAGTCTCTTCTTAAAAGCCTCCAACCGAAACCCTGTCCTTTAATGCCGCTGAAGCTCTTGGAATCATTTCATCAATTAACATCCTCCCTTTGCTTTAAAGTTAGATCAAAAAGTGTGAGTGTATTGTATGGAGTAATCACGACAGACACACCCCTCCATCCAAAGAATGAAATATTTTGGAGAATATTAAAAAGAGGCAGAATATTTTATTTTCCCAAAGGAGAAATGGAGGGAAAAAATACTAGCAAAGGCAGAAAGCAGCCACAACAGTTTCCAGCAGATACCTGAAATTTTTAGAGATGGATATTTTGTGTCCATTAAGAAATCTAGGACAGCCTATTCACAAACAAAACACCTAGAATGCCAATTAATGGGATTAAAATTTACATTTCCCCACCCAAAATCTAAGGACAGGACCTGACCTTTTAGTACACAGGTCCTCAAAGTACGGCCCATGGGATGGATATGGCCTGCTGAAGTAATATATCGGGCCCGCGTAGTGGTGGGATTGCGCTGTGCCCCTAGCCCCATCCCTACCAGCCATTCTTTGCGTGGCTGGCTGTGCCACCCGCATCGCCCCTTCTCTAGCAGTCGCCCTTATCTTTCAATGCACGGGTGTATGCTTAGCACAAAGGTAAGGGGGAGGGTGGGCAGTGGAGGGCGTGTTTCACAATGGGGTCTCCTCCTCCTGGAGCCCATTATGACGTGGAGCCACAATGTGACCCTGTCCCACTCTCCCCTGACAACAGCAGTGTCGGCTCATTTTCGCCTCCCAGATGTCAGTCTTCCTGCAGATACTGCAGGCTGCTTGTTTTGTGATGCCCTGCCTCCCCGCCAGCCAGGTGATCTTTGGGTCTCTGCCGACCGGCTGATCATCAGCATTCGGCTCATCAGCCTCTGGATGTCAGATTCCCACCATCTAGCACCAGTTCAGGGGTTCCTTCCCCCGTCCCCGGACAGAGAGAGAGAGAGAGAGAGAGAAAGAGGGAGGAAGGGAAGGAAGGATGATACGAAGAAAGACAGATTCAGGGGTTGTGGTAAAAACTGTAGTTCAGTAATAAGGATGTGATGGCCCTCCAGTGGCTACTGCACTACACTCCCATCATTCCTGACTATTAGTTGTGCTGTTAAAAAAATCCAGTGCCACCAGGGAGAAGTCACGTTGTGAGTGATTGAAATTCCTCACATTGAAGCTAAGTGGTGATAGGTCATAACATAGGTATGTATTCTCCCTGACACATTTTCTTGTTATGTGCCCTATGATTTAAATTTCAGATAAATGTATTTCTCTGCTGTCGTCTTGTTAATTCAGCGAGCTATCCCAGGGCACTGCCAGGGTTGACGGGGATCCTGCAGAAGATGTCTCAGAAGCCCGTCTCATCTCTGTACCCATGGTTATCAAACGCCTTCTTAAAACCTTCCAGTGTTGGAGCATTGGCAACTTCTGGCGGCAAGTTGTTCCACTGATTGTTCTAAATGTCAGAAAATTTCTTCTCTCCTTGATTAGTTGCTTCTCTCCTTGATTAGTTTCCACCCATTGCTTCTTGTTGTACCCTAAGGTGCTTTGGAGAATAGTTTGACTCCCTCTTCTTTGTGGCGACCCCTGAGATAGAACACTGCTATCATGTCTCCCCTAGTCCTTCTTTTCATTAAACTAGACATACCCAGTTCCTGCAACCGTTCTTCATATGTTTTAGCCTCCAGTCCCGTCATCATCTTTGTTGCTCTTCTCTGCACTCTTTCTAGAGTCTCCACATCTTTTTTATATCGTGGCGAACAAAACTGAATGCAGTATTCCAAGTGTGGCCTTACCAAGGCATTATAAAGTGGTATTAACACTTCACGTGATCTTGATTCTGTTTATGCAGCTTAGAACTATGTTGGCTTTTTTGGCAGCTGCTGCACATTGCTGGCTCATATTTAAATGGTTGTCCACAAGGACTCCAAAATCCCTCTCACAGTTACTACTGTTGAGCGAGGTATCACATATATTGAACCTGTGTGTTTTATTTTTCTTGCCTAAATGAAGAACCTTACTTTTTTCACCATTGAATTTCATTTTGTTAGATAGCACCCAATGTTCAAGTCTGTCAAGATCCTTCTGTATCTTAAGCCTATCTTCTGGAGTGTTGGCTATTCCTGCCAGCTTGGTGTCATCTGCAAATTTGATGAGTTCCCCACCTATCCCCTCATCATTGATGAAGATATTGAAGAGTATTGGGCCTAAAACAGAGCCTCGGGGTACTCCACTGCATACTTCCCTCCATGTAGATGCAGTTCCATTGAGGACTACACGTTGAATGCGGTTGGTCAGCCAGTTATGAATCCATCTGGTGCTGATTCTGTCCAACCCACATTTTTCTACTTTATCTAGTAGTAGGTTATAGTCTACTTTATCAAATACCTTACTGAAGTCGAAGTAAATTATACCGACAGTATTCCTCTGGTCCACTAATTTTGTCACTTTGTCAAAGAATGCAATAAGATTAGTCTGGCATGATCTGTTTTTGACAAACCCTTTTGGTTGTTACTTTGTTTGCTTCTAGGTGTTCGCTGATTCATTGCTTGATCTTTTCCAGAATCTTCCCTGGTATTGAGGTCAGGCTGATAGTTTCCTGGATCTATTTTTTTCCCTTTTTTGAAGATGGAAACTACATCAGCTCTTTTCCAGTCCTCTGGCTGGAAAATCCTGTGTTCCAGGATCTTTGAAAGATATCGTTCAGTGGTTCTGAGATCTCGTCTGCCAGTTCCTTTAGAACCTTGGGTTGTAATCCATCCAGTCCTGGTATTTGAACTCGTTTAGGGTAGGCAGGTGTTCACTTATCATTTTTTCCCCTACTTTGACTTGTGTTCCTAATCTGTTTTTGATAGGTTGGACTGTTTTTTCCTTTTGTGTAAAGACAGATGCAAAAAAGGAGTTAAGTAGTACTGCTTTCTCCCTGTTGCTTGTCACCTTCTTGCCACTTTCTCCCAACAATGGACCAATTGTTTCCTTGACATTTTTCTTTTCCATGTCCATCTAATTTGTATTTTATGTTTTGATTTTTTTTTGCCAATGTGCAAGACAGAGCATTTATTGGTTGAGCACAGACATCGCAGCACAGACACACATCTCCAAAATGCTCCCTCCGGAGCCTTCAGCCTTACAATCCTAGATGGGTTGTCTGTGCTGTGAACGCAAAGAAAGAATGGGGTGAGAGAGAGAGAGAGAGAGAGAGAGAGAGAGAGAGCGAGAGCTGGTGGTGACCCCCTGCCACCCCGGTACTGACTGTACACCAAATGCCTGTGCCATAGGGGCAGCCCCCCCACTCTCACCCAGAGGCCACAACAACATAGCCCATGATACTGAGCACCCATCACGGCAGCCCCAGCCCCAGCATCACCGCCCCCGGTCTTCCTTGGCAGTTCGGACGGCGGCAGCAGAGAATCCTCCATGTGCGGCGGGCAGAAGTCAGCATGGACACTTCTGGTGAGGGCGGGGCAGCGGCTACACGATGGGGCGCACGGCTGGAAGTCGCGCAGACCTACAACACCCAGCAGGCCTGGGGCGCCCCGCAGCTGGGCACGAGTCTCTCAGCAGCAATGGCTGAGGCGCTGTGGGTGTTGCTGCTGCCACTGCCTGTGGAGGCTCTGGCCAGCCCACTGAGGGCCAAGTTCAACCGCGGGCAGGGAGTGATGGCCATGGCCAGGCCAGCCAAGTTGCACTTGTCCAGCTGCCAGGCGGATGCAGCTGCCCAGGGCGTCCTGCATCCTGAAAATAATAAGACCCCCCTGAAAACTAGGCCAAGCCCTTATTTCGGGGTTCAAAAAAAAAATAAGACAGGGTCTTATTTTTGGGGAAACACGGTAGCATCCCCATGGTCATGTCATTTACATTTGGATGCTCAACTGATTCACATTTATGACTGTTGCAGTGTTCCAGAGTCATGTAATCCTCTTTTGTGACCTACTGAGAAGCAAAGTCAATTGGGAAATCAGATTCACTTAACGACTGTGCTATAATCATATTACTAATTTAACAATAGCAAGGATTCACTTAACAAATGAGTGAAGAAAAGTAGTACAATGGGGCAAAACTCACTTAACAAATTCCTCACTTAACAACATAAATTTTGGACTCAATTGTGGTTGTAAATTCAGGATTACCTGTAACTGAGGACTGGAAAAGAGCCGATGTGGTTCCCATCTTCAAAACAGGTAAAATAAACTCATTCAGGAAATTACAGACAGATCAGCCTGACATTAATACCTGGTAATATCTTGGAAAACATATCCAGGCAACAAATCTGTGAACACCCAGAAGTAAACAAGTTATAACCAGTAGCTAACATGGGTTGATCAAAAACAGATCATGCCAAACAAACTTTATTTCATTCTTTGACAAAGGGACTAAATTAGTGAACCAGAAAAATGCTATAGACATAGTATACTTAGATTTCAGTAAAGCATTTGATAAAGTAGATCACAACCTACTTCTTTTTTTTATTTATTTATTTTGTCTTATACATCCAACAAATGTTAACTCTATAGTGGTCTACATCACAACGCGAGAAGGAAATAAACTTGTCCCATTACATATATAGGGTAGCCTGCAAAAGTCTATTACATATACCAAATAACATATTTATCTAATATCTCTATTTACAGCTCTATTTGAAATCCATTTATACCATTGACTCCAGGATATATAATAGTCTGTGTCCCCTCGTCCTTTCAGCATCATAGTAAGCCGATCCGATTCCACACAATTCATTATTTTCTGAATTATTACTTGTTCGGGTGGGCTAACATCCATCTTCCAGTATTGGGCCCATGCCAATCTTGCAGCTGTTGTTATGTGTAGCAACAGGTACCATGCCATTCTATTAATGTTTACGGGTCTTATCCCTAATAAAAATTAGGACACAGTTGTATATGTTGCCCCAAGATCTCATTAAGCCACTTCTGAATAATCTTCCAAAATTTCATTGCCTCTCGACAGGTCCACCATTGGTGGAAATATGTACCTTCTTTAATGCCACATTTCCCACAGGTTGAGGATGTTCCAGGGAACATTTTGGCAAGTCTGGCCGGCGGCAAATGCCATCGATATGCCTATTTCTTGCCAACCACCAAAAAGTGAGTTTCTAACTGCTTGACAAATCCTATTCAAAGGGTAATCCTCAATGGAGCTATCCCCACATGGAGGGAAGTAAGCAGGCCTAGGAAGCAGGAAAAGGAGGGAACACCTTCCAAAAACCTTTGCCAAGGAAACTGAAAGGCCAGGCATCAAGACTGACCCAAAGGCACCAAATACGAAGCTAAATAGTGTCACCATTCACTTTTTCACTTCGCTCAGTTGCAAAGGTCGGCTGCTAGGAGTCAAAAACATCTCCCAAAAACCTTGGTGGAGACTGGACAGGGGTGTTTCTCCACCTCCTGTCGCTAGATGGCGGTCAGACAATGTCTGTGCCTAGAAAGCCATCAATACAGTGGTGCCATCCGTGATTGTGCTTAAAAAAGGAGTTTTAAACCATTGACTACTGCATTGCTAGAAAGGATGGGAGGAGAGGAAAGCGCATAGGAACTTCCTCTTCCGGATGACTCATGGGAGGAAGTTGGTGTGCAGAGCGGCTTTCGTGCTGTTTCCATGGTGGAAGCAGCAGCTGGCAGGTGAGTGGAGGGCAGCAGGTGGGAGGAGAGTCCGGGAGCAACTTGGGCTGGAAGCGGAGAAGCAACTGGGCTGAAGCCTCTCAGCTGCGGCTGCTGCAGGTTCCTTCCCTCCCCAAATGGAAGCCCACTGGTGCTGCAGGCTGGGAAACTGGGGGCTGCAATTTCTGCTGGTGGGAAGCTTGAAAAAGCCTCTTTCAAGTGGAGGTTGGTTCTTTGGGAATGGCTTCCCTCCAGAGGTTGTGGCTGCTCCGTCCCTGGAGGGTTTTGAGGGGCGATTGGGCAGCCATTTGTTCTGGATGGAACAAATATAAAATGTATTGGCCACCAACCTTACCATGACACCACTGTGGGCGGCTTAGAGGCAGAAAATAATACATACACATTAAAATCTAAACAAATTGAAGGAAGAAAAATCTGGTGCGGTTCCAAGCCAGGAGAAAGGATCTGGAAATAAAATGCTTAGTGACACAGAAGCCAGTCCCAATTGCAGTCAGTAAGTGAGGACTACTTCAATTGGGATGTCACCAAAGGGGTTGTGGAAAGTATTTTCTACCTTTACTTGGAGTTCATGGCTTCCATGGGCATAACTGGTGCTTCAAATCTTGCAGAGGCTTTAGGCCTCATTTGGTCAGCTAAAGCCCCCACATCTGTCAAGTTAGTGTCATGCAGATTATCAGGTGTGGCTCAATAAAATAAAAGAGAGTTCAAGTGTGTTTGTTGATAAGCCAACGCATTTCTTCAGCTGAATAAAGTTGGGTCCCTCCTAAGAAGGAAGAAACCCTGAGCGTAGTGAAAGGCAGATATTTATACATTTCTTTGCTTTCACTTCATTACATAAGAGGCAGCTGGGACACAACAGATAAAGTATAGAAATATAGAAATAATAAAAATTATAAAAATAGTCAAGCATGCCTTCTGTGATTTTGGTCACGTGCCTAACAGACAGGCTAGTGGTTTCCTGTGAACCTTTCCATGGCCTCAGGAGACTGTTGAGGCCTGAACTTCGGCCTTACCATCTCAACATATGAGCAAACATCAAATTCATCAGGTTCCTGATTAACATTAGCACAAAAGGTATGATTGAGATATTTTTCAGGCTTGAAAGATATTGATTTTCTCCATATTTTAGGTGTCTGTATTATTTCTCTCTGATTGTATATATCTCCAAATGCGTAATCTCTCCCCAGGACTTGCACATAAACAGTCATATGAAAAAAAAGTACACTCTTCTTGACTTACATCAGGTCATCTTTTAATTTATAAAAAGAAAGCCAAAACGGAGAAGTCATATGTAAAAAAAGTATGATTCAATAATTTGTAGAACCACCTTTAGCAGCAAGAACCCCTCCACCACCGTGCATGATGGTTTGCATGAGATGCTTGTGCTGATATGCTGTGTTTTGTTTTCGTCAAACACGTCACTGCATTACGGCCACCAACTCCACTTTGGTCTGGTCTGTGCAAAGGACAGTGTTCCAGAAGTCATGTGATTTGTTCAGATGCAACTTTGCAAACCTCAGCCGTGCTGCTATGACCTTTTTAGAGAAAAGAGGGTTTCTCCTCACAACCCTTCCAAATAAACCATATTTATCCAGTCTTTTCCTAATTTCGCTGTCATGAATCTTAACATTTAAAATGCTAACTGAAGCCTGTAGAGTCTGAGATATAACTCTTTGTTTTTTTAGTAATTTCTCTGGCCATTGCATGGTCTGGCCTTGGGGTGAATTTTCTTGGATGTCCAGTTCTGGGAAGATTGGCAACTGTCTTGAATATTTCCCACTTGTGAATAATCTTTTTAACAGATTAACAGAGTTGGAAGGGACCTTATAGGTCATCTAGTCCAACCCTGCCCCCCCCCCAACTCAAGCAGGGGACCATACACAATTTCTGACAAATGGCAGTCCAACCTTTTCTTGAAAGTCTCAAGTGATGAAGCTCCCACAACTTCCAAAGGCAAGCTGTTCCATTGGTTGATTGTTCTCACTGTTAGAAAGTTCGTCCTTATTTCTAGGTTGAATCTCTCCTTGGAGCTTTGGAAAATAGCTTGACCCCCTCCTCTCTGTAGCAGCCCCTCAAATATTGGAAGACTGCTATCATGTCTCCCCTGGTCTTTCTCTTCACTAGACTAGCCATGCCCAGTTCCTGTAACCGTTCTTCATATGTTTTAGTCTCCAGTCCCCTAAGTATCCTGGTTGCTCTCCTCTGCACTTTTTCTAGAGTCTCAACATCTTTTTTATAGTGTGGCGAAAACTGGATGCAGTACTCTAGGTGTGGTCTTACTAAGGCTTTATAGAGTGGTATTAGTACCTCACTTGATCTTGATTGTATCCTTCTGTTAATGCAATTTAGGATTGCATTGGCTTTTTTGCTGCCACTGCACACTGCTGGCTCATATTTAGCTGGTTGTCCACTAAGACTCTCAAGATCTGTCTCACAGTCACTGCTATTAAACCTGGTTTCACACAGTTTATATTTGTACTTTTGGTTTTTCTTACCTAAGTGTAAGACTTTACTTTTCTCTACATTGAATTTCATTTTGTTAGATAGGGCCCAGTGTTCAAGTCTGTCAAAATCCATCTAGATCTTGAGCCTATCTTCTAGGGCCATGATGGCAAAACTATGGCACGTGTGCCACCTGTGGCACGAGGAGCCATATCTGTGGGCACACGAGCATTGCCCTAGTTCAGCTCCAGCATGCATGTGTGCACTGGCCACCTGATTTTCGGGCCTTCTGAGCCCACTGGAAGTCGGGAAAAGGGCTGTTTCTGGCCTCCAGAGAGCCTCCAGGGAGGGGGGAGGCCATTTTCACCCTCCCCAGGCTCCAAAAAAGCCTCTGGAGCCTGGGGAGAGCGAAAAACAGGCCTACCGGGCCCACTGTGCCATCATGTGCCAAAAGTGGGGGGAGTGCGGGGTGGGGGTTGTGCGTGCATGCGCAGTGGGGGTGAGGCACATTGAATTATGGGTGTGGGCACGCACATGCGTGACCCCCCCCATGCGACCCCCGCCTTTGGCATGTGACGGCAAAAAGGTTAGCCATCACCAGGGCCGGATTTTCCTATAGGCTAACTAGGCTTCAGCCTAGGGCCTCAAGATCAAGAGGGGCCTACACAGTGGTGGGATTCTGGGGGTGGGGGGGGGCGAGCAATTTAACAAAGGGTTCGGTGTTTTTTTTTTGTAATTTTATTGGCCCACGGAGCTTCAGCATAGGCTAATTGGCCTCCCGGCTCTCAGCTGATTTGTCTCGGCTGTTTTGCTCAGGGCTCTTCTGCTTCCTTGCAAAGAAACGAAACTGAAACTGCTTTGCTGTTGCTGCAAGGTTGGAAAATTAGGCAGGCAGAATTCTTTTCTTTTTCCTCACCAAAAAAAGTACGTGCAAACAATGGGAAATTTAGGGAAAAAGAGGAGAGTTCAGGATTTTAAAACACAAAAGAAAAAAAGCTCTATTTAACTAGGGAATTGTAATAATTGAGATACTATTAATTGTATATTGTGTTGAAAGCAGAAATGGTTAAGTTGTGGTTTGGAGGAATATATGGGGGAAATTATTTGGTTTATTATTATTGGTAAATATAATTAATTGATTTGTAAGAAATTGGATTGCATGGAAATAATTGGAATATTCATGTTCATATTGATTAATATACAAAAAAGGTAGTTATATAACTAATTGATTTATATTAAAATGTTGAATTTATATTAAACAACTAATATTACATAATTAACCAATGTGAGGATGGATATAAAAATAGATGACAATGGGAAGGGGTATAATATAGAATAGAAGGGAAAAATTGAATTTGATTAAGATTAGAGATGAGGATGAAGGGTAATATTGGTTTTTTACAAAAATAGATGAGGAATAAATATGGCAAAAAGGAAATATAGAAATTGTAAATTTAATTGAAATGACTAAACACTGTTTAAATTTGTGAACCGGCCAAATACTCTGTTCAAAGAAAATACATTGTATGTTTGTGTGTGTGTTTCTAATTATTGTTATTTATTCATATTTGTTTTCTTTTATTCTTTAAAGTTTAACAATTCATTCTTTATCTTAATATCTTTATATTTGTTTGGGGTTGGCTTTCTTCCCTTTCATCTTTTTTATTGTACAGCAATCTTTCTCCTCAAACCTACCACCTCTCTTTTCTTTCCTTCTTACTTTCTCTTCCTCCCCCTCTTCTTCTCCTCCCTACTTCCTCTTCCTTTCTCCTTCTCCTCCTCTCTTCCTCCCTCTCTTACCCTCACTCCTACTCTAATTTCCCTTCCCTTCCTTCATCCCTCTCTATTGCTGTATCCTTTTATGCATATGGACTACTCAGAGGGCTGAAAAAGTTATTTCTGACTGGTCCTCGCACTTTTGACCAGTCCTCGAACTTACGACTGTCCTCACATTTTACGTTTTTGCCCTATCTTGTCACCATGGTGAAGAGAAGCAGTTGTGAAATGAGTGACATGGTTGTTAA